ATTATAGTAAAGCACAACAATTTCTCGAGAATATTTGTAGCTTTATTTGCTATACTGTTTAAAGGCAAATTACACTCAAAGAAAAAGCTTGTCTTTATTAGGGAAAATTATAATAAAGCACACAGCTTGTGCACATATTTTAAAGCACAGTAAACTTTGTAATTAAAAAGTAATATTTTGTTAATGAGTTTTGTGCTTCTGCCTAAGCGCTTTCTCTCAGTGTAACACACTCAGTGCGTTTAATTAAGTTGAAATTGTGTTGTCTTTATAAAATATGAGGGCGACGTTTGAAATTTATGCATAAACATGCAAAATACGAGTGTAAGAGGAACAGGAAGTGGGCGGCTCGGGAAATGCAGCTGGTTTATATATATAATATATATTTATATAGTATATATACTATATATAAATAGCCCTTGCAAATTGACCAGCTCAATAACTTTGGCTACAGATGCTCAAACAGCTTCCGTTTGCAACAAAAAAAAATGTGCTAAAAATATTTTAAGCAGAAAACAAAAAGAAAAAATGATGGAAAAAATAATATTTAAGACACCGAGGAAGAAATACGCTTAAAAATTAAGAGCTTCAAAAATGATTCAAATAAAGCTGGAATTTTTAAAACTCTATATAAATAAATTAAGCCATTCTGTTTCCATAAGCAAGATATATAAAGCATATTAAGTAAAGTAGATAGCAAGAGAGAGCATGATCCTCTGAACTCTGAGGAGGAATCTCTGCAAAGTAAGTTAAAGAAAGAAAACACGTGAAGTCAAAGATAGCGACAGCTTAGCTCAGATACTGATCAGGAATATGTATATATACACATAAAGAAAAACATTTATATTTATGCATATATAAATAAAGTTTTTACTAGAAATTCTTATACCCTCAAAATGGTTATAAAAATAACAAACAAAATATCAGTTCAGCAGAAGTTTAGCTACAGCGTGTGTGCGTGTGTGAGGTGTGTGTGAAATTCAAATTAACAACCAAATGAGCCAGAAACGAATGGGCCACACGTTCAGCCGGCAAGTCGTTAACAAAAAGTCGAGAGTTGGGTCTCCCTATAGAACGAGCAACAACAGCGAAAAAACCATTCAGAAAAAAACTTTTTTCCAGCGTCTGGCGACAAAAATTGTGCAAACATTGAACCGGTTGTAGTAGTATATATGTACACAAATATATATAGATATTTACGAATATATATATACTATTTTGTACTATTCGCTTTGGGCCACATTTGGCATTTGTTTATGCTCCACGTGACGCTGGGCCATAAAGCGAAACAATTGCAGCGCAGCTAAAAACTGATTCTTGCACGCTTCATTGATGATTAATGGCTCGATGCTGCTATGCAATTGGCCAAGAAGCCAACAAGCCAGCAAGCCGGCAAGGTCAACCAGTTTTTGCTTAATTCAATTCATTATTTGTTGTCTATGCAATTCGCCTTGAGCGGAAATAACCCTCCGACTCAGCTTCAATTACGGCTAAAATCCATGAATAAGACGCATTCGAAATGAGAAAACGTTCTAAGCACAGGCTCCATTATTATTCTAGAGATTTCAGATGTACTGAAAGCTATACAAATTGTAAAAAATTCTGTTTTAATTTCAGCTCATTTTGCAGTAGTTAAGCTAAGGTTCTAAGGCAGCTACATAAATGTGTATTAAATGGTAAAAAATTATAGTTTTATTAGAGGTAATTTATAGTAGTTAAACGCACAGTTAGCCAGTTGCTAGAGACGCTCTTTATAGGTTAATTGTTAAGGAAATTATATAGTTTAGAAACGTTAATTCATTCCAGTTAAATGCCCGAATAAGTGCTCTAAAAGCAGCTATTAACTCTGAGATATTTTATAATTAAATGCAAGAACGGAAAATTAAGAATCGAGAGAATTTCATTAATTCATTTTGACAGTTCAAATAATATGTTATGAAAATATTAAAAAAAAACTTAATTTCTATAAAATATACTTCACAACTTTCTCACCCTAATTTATTTACAATTTCTTCATATAATAAAATCTCGAGCAACTGTTGAAATATGATTTCTTTTTACCACTTGACAACCCAAAACCTACTTCGATTACTTGACTCTTAGCCTTTTTAGCTTCAAAACACGATTGTTTAGCACATTCTTTATTGAACCGCTTGGCGGGCTCTTGAAGCGCCCCCAAACACGCGTTCAAGTGCCAATGCGTGCTAGGTAGAAAAGAAATACTCGAAGAGCAGCTCCAAATATGGGTAAACGATGTTGTAGGAGTCTCCACATACCTGTGCGAGCAGCTAAACAACCAGGTAGCAAATCTAACGAGTGTTACGTATACGCAGCGTATGCCGCAATTAATGTAACTGCTGCGACCTCCATTTTGGCTGCCTTTGGTCAATAAGACAAGGCGGAGCAGAGAGTAGAACACCTGCGATTCCATTCACCCCGAGAACGAAAGTGAGTGAGACTGGGTCGCTAATATTGACTGCTGCTGCTGCTGTTGCTGTTATCGCTGCTCACAATATGCCGGCTTTTTACATTCTATGCCTATCTACTATATATATTCGTTGCGGGTCGTCAACCTGCAGCCAACAGCGCGGGAAACTTGTGAAAAACAGCCGTTTTGTGTTTTTGTTGCGTCTGCGCATGACACTATCTCTTTCTCTCGCTCCCTCTCTCACTCTCACTCCAACTCTCCTATCTTCGTTTTGGTCAGTGCAGCGGCATGTGCCGTTATTCATCAACTCCACCCTCAACACCCAAAAAATTTTCACAATTCATATCAAACTTACTGCCGCACCTTATTTTTGAGTTTATTTAGATTAACTTATTAAGTTTGCATTCTTTAACGGCACTTGAATTGTTTTTGTTTTTCTTCCACTTTTAATCGTTATCCTTTATGGTACCACATTCACATATGCTGTAAATTTATAACTGTTATTTATCCAATTATTATGTTGCTTCCAACGTCGCGTGAACAAAATTTCGTTTTGAGAACTCTGCACGAATAACAACTGAACGGCACCAAAGCTCAGACGCGACTGAGCGCAACGTTTATGCAGCCAAGCCAGCGACGTCGACGACAGAGGCAGAACAACTCAAAGAGAGCGCAAGTGAGCCAGGGGCGTAGAGTGAAGAACATTAAGCAACGCTAAGCGAACGTCATTAAATATATAACTTTTCTATTATTATGCTCTTATGCTAACATTTACATAAATGACTATAGAGTCGATGGGTCGTTCTTTATACATATAACATATTACATATTGATGGTAAAACTAACATTTGCTCATTAGCCGGCGGAGAATATGTATATACATTTTTATTAATAATAAACAATGAAAATAGTCAAATTTTTTGTAATATAACTTTTTGTAATAAACAATAAGTATTTCCTTTTGTTAAAAATTAAAAAAAAACTACATTTCTGCCGCAAATTCAAAAATTGCTAACTAACTTTGCTATCAGCGCAGCTTTGCTGTTATACTCAAAATGGCAATGTTGGACTGAGACTCGAAACAAGCTTGAAGTTTTTGCTGTTCTGTTAAGCAAAAAGCTTTTAAAGCTGTTACTTGAATGGCCTGAGACAGACAGGGTGTTTGTTTTGCAGCTCATTGTACAAATGATGGGCGCTATATTTAAATTTTAGTAGAATTTCTATTTTTGCTAGTTAATTAAAAAATAAAATAGAACTATACATTTGTTTATATCAACATGCAAATTAACATTTACAGCTACTTAGTTATATATGCACTTACAAGCAGTCTGTCTTATACGAAGTTTTAATTATAAGAGTTTAGAATAATGCGTATAACAGTTTTCTGTACAAAACAAGCACATAGATAGATTTTTAAATTCAATTAATTATAACAGTTTTATTAGTTGAACTTATGCATATTCTGTTACACGAATGCGTATTCTTCTCTTTATGTATAAGTTAATATAATTATTGAGAGCTTTAGACATGTGTATGTTAAATAAGGGTCATAGTATAATTATAACAGTTTTGTAGTTATTATAGAAGACTGCATTATTATAGAAGACTGACTTCGACGCGCCTACTAACTATTAAAAGGTTATGCAAATGCCTCCGCGCAGTCAACGCAAAAAATGTTGCATGCTTTTAGGTGCATACAACATTAATTATTCATGGAAAATTCAATTTAGACTGAAAAGCGTCAAGTACAGCGCTGAAACAATGTTTTACAAAACAAAAAAGAAAAAAAAAACAAAATGAGTTGAAAGTAGGTAAATTAGCAAAAGTGTTTCAAAACTTTTAAATGGCTTGTAGCAAAAGTTTGAGCTGCTGCTGGTTGCTGCTGCTGTTGCGGCTGTTGCATTTGCTGGCCATTAGCTCGCCGGCCGCGTCACAAAGAACCAAACCACAAATCTAATTAGGTTGTAAAGTAAATGCAGCAAGAGCAGCAGCAGCAACAGGAGCAACATCAGCCATCAAGCATCAAGGTCTAGCTGGATGCTGGACTCAAAGTAGCAGGACAAAAGGTATAAAAACCGCTAGCCACTGACACAATTATGCAAATCCGAAACAATTTTTTCAATTTGGTTTTTTGCAAAGAAGCGAGAAGCCTTTGACGTCAGCTCGGCGGGCCCAGTCGCCGGGGGCAACAGTCAGTAGAAAATCTGAATAACTGAATATCGCATTGCGCAATAGGGTATGATAATTGCACTTGTATACCTTTTGGCACACCTGAGCCTTATTGCCGCTTAAAGTCGAGAAGCTGCTGAACGGGTAAATGGCCACACAGATGTCGGCCAGCCACCCACTGGCGAATTGGCCAATTGCTCCATTGCTATGCATATTAGACAATATCCAAAGCGAGTCGAGTCGAGTTGCGTTTCAAATAAGCAGCTAATGTGACAACTTTCGCGCATGTCCCGAAACAGTTGAGTCTCCCCCACTCCCACCCACTCTTCCAGGCACCTGCCGAGCCGAGGCAACAGGGACAACAGGTGCTCGTCGCCTGTCGGCTATAAAAACCCTTCATGCATTCGCCTCTGCCATCAGTCGACAGTTGACAGTTGCCTCGTCTTGTGGAATCCGATCTTGTGCTCTGCTGCTCCTAAAACTAAACTCAATTGCTTTGTTCACCAATAAATAATGTGCTTAACAAGTCTTTAGCTCCGGCCAAAGCAAACGTAATCTTGGACAAAATGTCTAAACTCTAATTCGAGAGTTTTGCCTCAACCCAAAAAAAAATAAAGTAAAAATTATGTTGCTTCAATGCTTCAGTTTAAAGCAATGCATATCGCTGTTGTTGCTGCTGATGACAGGTGAGACATGCTCGAAATGTAACAGAAATCTTCTGTTAATATTTTTTTTTTATTCATTTCATTATTATTTATAGCTTACTTTAACAATAACACAAGTTTACCAGTTTTGGTAATCAAGAATCTGATTATATATAGTTTAAGAATTGTGAATTTGCTGAATCAGATTTAAGCAGACTTCTAGTTACTAGCTCTAATTCTAGTTAATTGCATTTAAAAAAAAAAAAAAACAAATATCTTTGAAGCACTTCAGATAAAGGCAAAAACCACTCACATTCTTTTTTTTTAAGTTTTAAGTCTAACCTTTAGGTTTATTTTCTATATAATATAAAAATTTTTGTTCAAATTTTAGGTTTGTGAAACAAACATTTTATAAAAAACAAAATAAATTTTTTAAGTGAATTTCTTTTTAAATAAATAAAAAATAAACCTTAAAAAATGTTAAAACAAATTTTTAATAATAATAAAATGAAATAAATAAAATAATAATTCATAAGGCGTTTTTATAAATTGTTATAAAAAAATATTTATATTTTTATAACATTTTTTAATAAACAAGCTAAAAAATGAAAGATTGTATAATAATTATTGGTAATTATATATATAAATATAAATATATAATCATAATTATTTATTATAATTTATAAATAGTTCTTAATACATTTTTATTCAAGTTTTACCGTACTGTAAAATAATCATAATAAATGTGAATGAAAGCACATCGCAAATTGTTGCCAAGCATTGATTAAGCGACAAATAAATCATATAATTTTATTTACAAAAGGAAATACGATATCAGTACATACAAACACACACACCCACACACACACAGGTACAACACATGAGCACAGAGAGCACAGAGAGCACAGTCGAAACTGGGGAACTCCCATTTATTATGAATTATGCATTTCAATTGGCCAAAGCTGTATAAGAGTTTAGCCGACTAAAGTAGATTTTCAAACTTGAAATGAGAATGAAATATCAACTAAAATTTCTAAAAAAAAATACAGCTGTTCAAAGGGAAAACCCATCAAATGCATTTGGCTAGCCGCATTCAAAACAGTTTTTAAAGGCGTAGTAACTAGAAACAGCCCTCAGCTATTACTATTAACTAAGGCGCAGGTATAAATGCAAAATATAGTTCGAACTAAGTTGATTAGCCACAACGAAACCGCAGTTATGCGTAGTCCAACTCAGTCTTTCTTAGAATAGAGTTTGACAAGGAATATATGCTAGATAAGCGTATTGTATAGATGTATAAGCGTATAAGTAGCGCATTTACTATGCTTATACCAGTTTTGCAAGCTGTACTAAAATAATTATATTTATACATATGTTGAATCTTTGTATGTTGCTTATACGCAGCGTTGTTATACGTATGTATAAGTAGCGAGTGCTGTATATAAGCTGTATAACAGTTCTGCAGTATGTACTTATACCAACCTGAGTGTACTGTAAGCAATCTCAATGTTTTGGTGTTACTATTTTCTTTCTTTGAGATTAAAAGCTATATAATTAAACGTTAATTTTTAGCAGAAAGGATTAAGCAACCTACATATGTGTACATATACATATGTTTATACCCTTAGCTTATACAAAATGTATTTATAATACCAAAAAAGTAGCCACAATCAACAGTCATCCCAGAATATGAATTTGTGTACTATTTGTAGTTGTATATATCTGTAAATATATACATTATATACATATACAGACATATATATAATATAAGCACAATCGAAACAAACATTTATATGCACAGAATTCTTTCTATAATGCCTGTATATATGTTTGTAATTTGTTTATAGTATTGGCTTTAGAGATAAACCTGAAATGAGCCCTATTAGCTTGCGAGCTGAGGGAAAACCCATTTTGATTATTGTGTCTGTTCAAATTAATAACATGAGTCGCACAAGCTGTCATTATAGTATAAAATCATTCATAAAAAACAAAACAAGTATAAAAAAGTTATCTTTGTTTAAAAATATATAAATATAATTTTTTATATTATATAAATTATAAAAATAAGTTTGAATAATTCCTTAAGCTGCATATAAATTTCTATCTCAAACTAAATTATACTTTATATACTTTTATATGGAATACTTTGGCAATGATTTGAATTTTCAAAATTGGAAATCTTTGAATAAGTAAAATCGGGAAATAACCATATGCTATACAGCTTAACAGTTGAGAAATGAGTTCCCTCGATAGAGTGTATATTACAGATAAAGACTTGAACTTGTAAACGTATATTCCTAGAGAACAGCGTCATACAATTATTGGTGGGATGTAGCACTGCTGTAGAGTCGTGACAACACGGAAATGCTTTATCTGCCCCAGCTTTGAATGAGTATCAAATTTATTTCATTGAATACCTATATCCGATTCCTCATTTATTTAGTTTCATAAGCACTTATCCCCACCCCAGCGCATATCGTATAAAATTATGAACGAATTCCCTGAACATCATGCCTTATCGGGCCACATGGACAACTGTCTCAGCTTTAGCAAATATTAACACAATTTAATGAAATTGAAATTGAAAAAAGGGCTGACGCTACACAAAATAATTATCTCAGATTCAGCTGGCATCTAGTTGCATATGGCATACATACACATATGTATGTCTCTGTCAGCTTAGCGATTGACCCTCAATTAATTTTATTGTTTTCCTTTCGTTCCGTGCATATCAGCAATTAAAATCTGCAGGAGCCCGAACGGAAATTGAACATCCGTTGCAGGCGCTAGAAAATATGAATCCCTGTGGACACGTATATATATATATATATATGTATAGTAAATAAATGCTACTTGTTTCACAGCATCGCCCATGCAAATGGCGGCCATCGATGCGAATTCAAAGGATGCGTTGGCGTCGTCCTGGAGCAGCAGCAGCAGCGACAGCAGCGGCAACTGGCCAGCCAACAACTTGTATGCCAACGGAAACCCTTTGCCAAATATTGAGGCCATGGAAATGGCGCCCGAATTTGTTGACATGCCTTTCAATTTCCCGCCGTATCCGTTCAACAAGAACAGACATTGGCGTTCCGATAAATACTTAAAGCATCTGGTCCAGGTGCATCGGACATGGCTGCAATCTCCGGCTGAGCGATCTAGAAGAAAAGTGAAACGCGGCCCACAATATTGGCCAATGAGTCTGAATGATTACGGGCTCTCGTCGGATATAGCCAACTACTATCAACGCAAACGCGAACCGGCCGTATATGAGAGTTCACGCTTCAAGCCCTCCATCAGTGCTGGTGATTAGCTGCAATAGTTGCATCTATCTGTTGCTAAGTGAAGTATTCCTGTCCTCTCTCCCATTCTCTCTCTTACTTCTAGGAGTAATGACAAATCTGGGTGATTTCTTTAATCAGCTAAAGGCGAACGTTCATTATGCCGAGCAATCGCAGCACCAGATAGGCGAAGAGGAGTCCCAGCTGCTCGAAGGCATCCATCCACATCAGCAGCAAAGGGAGAACGATGACGACGATGCAGATGCATTAGATGGCGCCGATTATGATTCCGGGCAGCCGCCCGATCGCAAGGGATCAAAGTTGCGTAACTATCGGCCATCGCAGAAGATACGCTCTTTGGTCTCACGTAATCCCAATGGTTATCGCGGTTCGCAGTTTATTGATCCGAGCTACATGTGGTTGGGTCTGGGAAAATGACCATAAACTGCTCTATATATAGGTTGCAACGATTCGAGAGATCCTCTTCCTTCAGCCCCGCCCCTAAATTTTTCAAACTTTTATCTGTGTGTACATATATATATATATAAAAATATATATATTAATATATTATATTATAGCAAGCATTAAAAATCGCCCGCAAAAATAATGGCAAAAAAATATTTGATTCAGATTACAAAGAATTCTTCAATAATATTTATAGAAGACAGTATGGGAGCAACACGGACTCCACATATATTCAAGAAAGTTAATAGATATATATATATATATAAGTTGTTTGCTGTTATAACAGTTGATAAAGTAAGGATGTATGTGTGTGTGAGTGTGTATGTGTATGTTAAGTTTCGTATTGAAAAACCAAGTTGCTCAGATTCGCTTCGCTTCGTTTTTAGATTTTAGTATAGCTGGGATAGGTATTACCCTGATTGGGTACCTCCATACCCTGCGTAGCAGTAATCAACGGACGCTGTTGTTCGCGTGTTCGCTGAATCTGCTTGTACAGCGAGTAGATGCCGTAGTAAATGTAGATTTGCAAACCTAAAACGAAAATCAAGCAATGCGCAATTAACATTGTATACAATATTCCCCGAATATATATATATATATATATATATATATATATATATATATATATATATATATATATATATGTATATATATATAAATTAATGTATGTAAAGAGTGTTTATAGATAAGCAACATATACACAAGTATTCATGATGTTCAGAAAACCGGCAAAGGCTCGTAATCTGAATGCAATGAAATGTATGTTTGTGTGTGTGTGTGCGAATAATTGACTGTTGACTTCTGTATTAACATTAATATCTCCAACAACTGTGACTCACCTAGTACAACAAATGTGGGTATCAAAACACCAAGAGCGCTCCCGAAATTACTGCCAGAGGTAAGCGTGGCGGTCACTATAGCCAAATGGTACAAAATGCTAAAAACGAGTCCAACGGCAGAATTAATCAGCCATGGCAAAAGCATCAAATGACGTTCCTGTGCATAAGAGTAAAAGAGATGAGCATACCATTTCACACAAAGCAAAAAAGTAGAGTAACATTATAACAGAGCTCATGACGTTTGCAGTTTACTCAACGATCCCCTCTCTCTTTCATTCTCTCTCATTTACCTTCATGGTGCCAAGTACCAGCATGGCCGATGACAATAGATTCAACAGAATGATCCCCAAGTAAACGCTGCACCCAATGACAATAACTGCAAAGATAAGATATTATGAGCATTTTGCTGCACTTGTTTGTTTTCCTCCACTCGCTTTGCTCTCACTTACCCAGATGTATTTCATCATACGACGCTCCTCCATTTTTCATGTTTTCAAGAACGCGCTGAGTAATGACGTCGGCATATCCCAAAACGGTGGATACGAGGATTACACCCAACAAGGAGCCAACAACACCCAGCCAGCCGAGAACAACGCCGGCGGTATTAAGGCGCATGCAGCATAATCTTGTCAACATTTTTCACTCTTTATGTTTTACACCAAATTTAAACGAAATTGCTATAGATAATGAAATTAAAAATGCACAAATTGATATATACCTAATTATATACATATAAATATATATATATATATAGTTACACACAAACCTGAAACTAGCACTGAGTATTTGCTTTGTCTGCGTCGCAATTGGGAATGAATTCGCACTGGCAGTACATTAGCAAGTTAACTGTTGTTTTTCGGAATTGTGAAGGGATGACAGCTTCATATCACATAACAGAATATTGATGCTGCGTATTTGACATTAACGACCAACGCAACGTGCTTAAATGTTAAGTCGTGTATGTAGTCTGATAAAATCAATTTAGTAAATATAGTTTCTAACAATATTTCTAAATTTTAATATTGCTGCAATGAATTCACATAAAAGAAATTATAATATTGCGTATCATTCATTTATAATTGTACACAATTAACAGCGCTGGCTGTTATACGCCTCAGTTGGTAATTCTCATTCATGCTGTAGGAATTGCATTTACTAACAGAGCGTGGCGTTGCCAGATTGTTACAAAAGCTGTATGTACTTGCAGTGAAATTTTAAACTACTAACTGTTATAATTTTAGTTATACGTGTATGGGATGTGAAGCCTCACGCCAGCCACATACATATCTCTGTCGTTCTCTAATTCTCTGAGGAGCAGCAGTAAACAACGCTCATTTGGGAGATAAATGTGTGTGTGTGTGTGCTGGTGAGGCGTATCAGAATTTGAAGACGCGTTGTCAGTTGTTGTCAGCCTGTTGCGCGCGTCGGTTGATTATTTGAGCCGAAAGTTACGATCAGTTGCGCTACAAACTTTGTAGGGGGAAAGTCTTTTTGGAATAACAATAAACCCAGGCTTTTAAAATGAAAATCGAGCTAACCGTCGATCGTGGACCATGCGACACAGAGCTGCGCAGCTGGTGTTTGGGCATAGCCATCTATACGCTAATTTCTATAGCATTGAATACGCTATTCGCGCCAAATGGTAAGTGAAATTCCTATTGGATGTGTTTTGAGAGTTCGATTTTAAATGTATACATATAAATGTGTGTGTGTGTGTTTTGGTTTGTGTTATGCTTAGCCGATCCCACATTTTTGAAACGTATGCATGTTTGCATAGATACATATAATTATATATAAATATATGTATATGCATGCATGTATGTATGTATATTTGTATATATATATATACGTAAATATAAAGAATGAGCTAATACTTCTCTATACAAGGCTTTTCGAAACGTGTTCTCAACGACGAGGGCGAACGTTTTATATTGTTTTTTTCTCTTTCATTGAGATTTTCTCGTTTTTCGGTTTTGTTGTTGTTTTTGTTTGTTTCTGAATTACATAGATAGTTTGGAATTTTTGAGCAAGTCTGTCGCCAAGTTTTAAATACAATGATGATCACACAGAGAGATTAATTCTTAATGTTTTCTCTGTTATTTTTCAGCTCTGACTTTTATTGGATTCGCAATTGCGGTCATTGCAAATGTTTGCCTGCTCATTGGCTGCTTGCGGGTAAGTCTATACTATATAAGATATCATTTACTATATATATATATATATATATATACATACATATATATATATATATATATATATATATATACTATATATATATTATTATATTTTGGGCTTGGTTCCGGTCCAACTATTTTGTTGATAAGCCTATATCTAAATGCCAAGATTGCTCTTACACATTTACACGCTAAAACAAAAACAAATAATCACACACACGCACACACATACACACACACTATTATGCTCCACACTGGCAACAAGTGTTATATTTGCAATTTAAGAAAACAAAAATTCTATATATAGTCGTTTGCCCAATAGGGTAGCGGGGCATATACATAGCTGACATTCATCTGTTCGTAAGAAAGAAATATTATTCATAGCTGTACGAGATTAAACATTTGCTGCCCCTTTTTTTCTGACTGTATTAACTAAATCGGCATATATTATATACGTACCCATTATTTAAAACCTTGACTTGGATGAGATCAGAATAAAAACTGTGATGTAATCGCTTACCAAATGAAAATCCAACTTTTAATTGTTCAGATATTCCAATTGTAGCAATAGAAGTTTTCCAACTGAAGAGGGCAGTGGAGCTTATTAGACTCGCACATTCCAATAAGAAATGCAGTGCCTAAAATGTGGTGATATGTATAACACCAATTCAATATTTCAATACGCCTTTTGAATACATTCCAATCAGCAATATTATGACAGGTGCCTTTGGTCAAAGCCAACTAGATTTCAGCATTTTCGTATAAGATATTTCAATAATCCAAAATGAGTATCAAATTCTATCAGATTCTTACAGCTACTTCTAAGCAGAATTATGCTGAGTTTTGCACCTGCCGGCTATTAATTACTTAAAAACAGGGTATCCAATAGTCGTGGTAATGGTTCTTAGCCAGGTACAACACTTCTTTTAATTAGCTAATGATAATTAACTTTCTACGTTTCATAGTCAAGGCTTTAACATGCACATGCATATGCGGGGGTAGCCTAAAAACTTGTGAGCTAATAAAATATTAAATATGTTGATTAATAATTAACTGAAATTTATTTCTACTTTTAAAGTCGCAAATATTTTTAGGCAGAGATTCTCATTGCTGCCCTAAATGGCCATAAATATGTATATCTATAGATCTATATATTAATGAACATATATTCTTATTGTTCCGTTTTACAGTTTAACCATATCTTGGTTGGCATTTGGTTAATCTATGCCCTGCTCATTGCCATCAACTTTCCGTTTGCCATCTTTGGCACCATTTTCCATTTTGGTGGCTATCGCGAGGCATCGGGCTTCAACAACGTGATCCTCGCGCTGCTCTTCTACATTGTTATGATGCGTAAGTAAACTCTTAAGTTACTAAACATTGGGTATTTACACATGGTATATCATTGACATTATTCCTTTCAGTTATTTGCCTGTTCTGCGCTCGCATCGTCTACTCGTACCATCTGGCGCTGAAGAACCGTCAGGGCAATCCGCAGCATACGGTCGTTGTCTGAATTTCTTAACTTTTTGCATTTCGTGTTAAATCTCTCCTCATTCGTTTTATGCTTCTCCGAATTGCATTAGCTGGCAATTCGTTGTAATTTAAGAGTTTACCGTGTGCCTTCATTTTATACAAACATATTTATAAATAAATAAATAAATATTTAACAGAGTTCTCGTTGCTGTTGCTGAGTAATGAAAGAGGTTTGTGTGTCTGGAATTGCAATTTGTCGTTTACTTCGGCTATCAGCTATCAACAGTTGAAATATACACATACATATACATATACAGGGTGTGTGTGCCACTACTCTAAAAGCTAAACATTTCACATAGGTCTTACTCAACAAGCTATAAACATAATATTCAATATTAATACATTGTATAATATATATACTAGACTGCATCTATCTAACTAGCTATTCGTATCGTTACTTGACTTCCGACTCTCTCTCTCTCGCGTTCACTCTCTTTAAACATAAAATGGAAAATTGGTCTTGTTGGTTGTTTTTTGCATGAAACTCGTCTCCGCGTTCTGACTGCTCAGCTTTGCTTGCACAGCCGCAAAGATGCGTGCTGCCTGACCATTAATAGTGGGCGTTGCCCCGCTTAGATTTAATTCCAGCTCAAACTTGGTTAGGCTTGTCGTTTGAATGTTAGCCTGTGTCGTCTGCCTGTTGCTTGCTGCTCCTACACCTCCGCCTACGCCTCCGCCGACAGCCACCAGTTTTCATCTGGGCGTTGTAATGCTCGGCAATTTCTCCAGAAAATCTTGGGCCAACAAATCCTCAATCTCCTGCAGGCAATTGGCCACATTTAGTTCAGTATCCGGATAGTTGCTAGAATTGGAACAGTTTATGCCCAGAGTGGAGAAGAATGGATAAAGCTCCAGCAGCGACTGCAGCTGCTGAAAGTTCAACATCAGATGACGATTCCGTGGACGCTGCAACAACTGTAAGCCACGATTAGTTCAGTATGCATAAGGGATCCCATGCGATCTTACTCACCGGCGAGTGACTGGTATACTTCATATCCATTAGGCGCGCCACACGACGCACATGCGGCACATACAATGCACTTGGCAATGCAGCCAAATTCTCAATGCTACCGTTGGGCAAAGGCAGTGAGACGACCTCCTCATGCACATCGAACTCGGTGCCAACGAAGGCCCAGCGATACATTTGGAAATGCGGCAGCTTTGTCGCCGGCAACACGCAGCCCAGCTCAAGCAGCTTGCATGCCTCCAGCTGCACTGAACGCCAATGCTGCATCGGCGTCTGTGCGTTGATTCCATTTGGGGCACTCGAATTCGAGGATGACCAGGAGACATCAATGCCAGGCAGCAAGCGTGTTTGTTGACTGGCGAGAGGAATGGAAGGATTCGATTTTTATAGTAGTAAATTCCAAGTATCATAAAGTATATATGTTAATATATGTATATAAAATGTTAATATATATAAAGGAATTATAGCTGGGTCTAAGTGGACTCTAAAGCTAATGCAAATGTTGGCGCTGGAGTTGGAGTGTTGCTCTTATTATATATAAAATATTATGAGGTATTATGCTAAGAGGCTGGTCTAAGAAACTCCCGGACTGAAGCTAAAGAATAAATATATAAATTCACTTTAAATTTAATATTTTTATATATTCTAACGTAAAGTTTCAGCATTTTTAAGTAGTTTCTATTGTAATACACATAATTAATAATTATATTCAGCTAAAACGATTTGTTGTTTACTATAGAATATCACATTCAGCACATGCTCCTAGTATATAGAACTTTTTATCAAGTTTCATTTTATTGGCTACAATTCTCTTGTTACAAATTTGTTGTTTCGTTCCTTAAAATTGGTATCTCTAGACCGAACCAGTTTCTACTCTTATATAAAATGTTCTAAGCATATTTCTATACCCTTTTTGTTTCAGATAAATTACAGTTTTGCTTAAATAAATTTAGATATTCTATTTATGTATAGTTTATTTCTTATATGAAAAAGAAAATCTGTTTTTAAATACATTTGTTGGAGCTTTCTGTCTCTCGCTTTCTATCTTTCTCTCTGAGGAACAATTGTAGTTGGGCTCATTTGGGATTCCATAATATGAATACTCAAATTTCTAATATAAATATAAAGAGAATCGTAAATTTATGTAAATAGTTCTTACACCAATTTTAGTTAGCTAGTCAGAGACTTTTCTACACGAATTAAGTCTCTATTAATCTAATATAAAACTACTTAAATAATAATAAATTTAAATAAATCACGTCCTTCCACTGATGACTTGCAACTCATCACTGTCTATACATTTGCATAATTATGTTAGAATCCTTGCAGCTACATAAGATCTAGCCCACTTCCAGCAGCTTCAACAACACTCACCTGCGCTCATCGTTCTCGCACTTGAGTTCCTGTTCCATTTGCAAGAAGACCTGCACCATTTCGGCTATAATGATGGGCCACAGCGAGGTCACGTGATCGGGCGACATGCGCAGCAGCAGAACGCGGAAGCAGAGAAACACAGCAGCCTGCACCGATGGACCCAGTGGCACCAAACGCAAACTGTTCGCCAATTGCTCTGCAAAGGAATCAAGTGAAATATATTAGAGTGGAACTGATGAGATTAATCGTAGTCTTACCCTGAATATCCGGCATATACTTATTATGCTGATCGTACTCGCTGCAGTAGATAACAAAAGCGAGTCGCTTGAGCAGCATTGCGCGTAGCTCGTACTCCTGATCCCTGGATGCGAAGATGCTCAAGCTGCCCGCCTGGGAGAGACTGACCCGTGTCATGAGCTCGCGGAATGTGGTATTGTCATAGGTCATCAGGCTGTCCATGATCTGGCGCCAGAAGGGCAAACATGAGATGTGCATTTGAAAGAACGAGGTGTCCAGCAGCAGATCAAGCATATCCTTGCGCCAAGCCTTGCGCGTATACTGATACCCACTCAGGCTGGCCAAGAGGGCGGAGCAGGCATAAAAGAAGGGCATGTTGCGTGTCGTATGATTCTTCAGATACGGCGTTATGTTATAGAGCAGCGTCGTCACAATGGTCACCACCTTGTCCTTCTCCTGCGACCCGTATGCGACGTCCAGAAGGTTCGACAAGATGCCCGCTAGCACGCTTTGAGCTTGCAGCGAATATTGTTGAATGCCACCGCCCAGACTGTTGTCCTTGGCATGGCCGTCGGTGTCCTCTTTGACGGCCAGATTGCGTCGCAGCCATGTGGTCTGCTCCAGGCAGGCGCCAGCAACGCCAGACAGCGATTCAACGAGCCGTGCTGTAACGTCGTGCAGCTCGCGCACCTCCTTCTTGTCGGGAAAGGGCATCTGTGGACAGCGCTGGACAAACTCATTGAGCAGCATTAGCAGAGCGAACTGCGCCGGTGGCGTGAGGCTAAGACCGTCCCTGATGAGCACGAGCAGCGAGGCCCACGCATCGGCCAGCTGTGGCGCTGGTGCAGATCGCATATAGAAGTAGAACAACTCCAGTGCGCTGACCTCAATGCTCAGCTGTGCGGGCGGTCGGTGTATGGGCGGTGGCGACTTCACCACCTGATGCAAGGTCTGCACAAATGAGTCCATGGGCATGACCCGTATGCTGGACACCAGGGAGACTAAGCTCAACTGGGCCGGGCAAGCTTGTAGCGTTGAATTGCGCTGGAACTGCTCCGCAATGCCAGAGGAACTGCTGTTGGAGTTGCTGTTAGCGCAGCCACGCTGCTGCCAGGTGACAGCGATGGCGGTCAGGAAATTGCAGCCATGATGCAGTGAGACGGGCGACAGGAATTCCAACAGCTGCTGACGCACCGGACGCAGCTGACCCAGTTCGCTGTCCCAAATAGCCGCCACGCTAGTCATGATGCGCGGCAAGTGCGAGAGCACAGCATTGCGTGCGGCCTGCAGCTGGGGATTGCGCGGAGCGCTTGCAGTGGAAGTAGATTCACTTGCTGAGAGAAATGAGTGCACGATGCTATTGAGCAGCTGCCCAGTGCTGGAGGATTGCGAGGCGACGCTCGTTTGCGGATAGGCCTGATTGAAGAGATGCGAGAGCGCCGTCTGCTGTGTATTGTCGAGCAGGCAATAGTGACAGAGTATGGTGAGTGCCTCCAGCTGGGAGAGCACATAGTCCGGTGGGAAGTGGCGCTGCTGTGGCAGCGTCAGCTTGGCCAGACGATCCAGATTATTGCACAATTGATGCACCACGCTGATCACAATATTGGTGAGCGAGCCAAAGCTGAAGCAGTTCAGCGAACTGGTCACCAGATCGGTCCAGTTGCGATGCAAGTGTCGCAGTCGCTCCTGCTGCAGTGCACCGAGCACTGCGGCCAGAAACATGGGCTGCTGACTGATCAGACAATTGGGCAAGTATTTGACATTCGCAGCTGCGCCCTCGGCCAGACGTGTGGGCGAGGCATTGCCAGAGGCATTGGTGTCCTCTGCAGCGCCAGCGCTGGGCGTGTCCTGACGTAGCTGATGCACCTCATGCTCCAGCCGTATGACAGACAGCAGCAGACGCAGCAGTTGCAGCTGAAAGCAATCTGCATGCAGCTGATCATCCTGCGGATCATTAAAACTGAGCACCTGATCCGCATAGCTGCTGCCGGTGCGTCGCGCATAGCTGCACACCGAGCTATTGAGGCAGTGCAGCATGACCTTCTGCAGTTTGGCACGCACCAATAGATCCGCTATGTAGCAGGCCAGACCACGACCCATGCCCTTCACTATGTCAATGAGTTCCGTGCAGATCAGGGCAAGCAGCTCGATGCTCTCCAGCTGTATGCGACGATTATTCACCACATCCTGCAGCGTGGGCGGCTGCCGTTGCGGGTCCAGAGATTCGCGCTGAAAATAGCCGCGCGCATAGAACAGCAGCAGCGTGACTAACAGCTCCAGGTGCATGCAGCCCCTATAGCCCTGAGCATATTCCGAATTGCTGACGCTGCCGGCAAACCCTTTGCCCGAGATGCTCTTGCGATGCCGGATGAGCAGCTGCTTCAGGCTGCCGCTCGTAAAGGATGTCGTTATGGATAGACAGAGAAAGGTGCGCTTATCACAGCAGATGATGTTCCGCAACGTTTGCAGCGCATAGAGCGTCTGTCGAGTATCGTAGATGGCCAGATAGAGCAGCAAATGATTGTGATACAGCTGCGCAGCATCCGTTTGCCTAGACGTGCCAATGCCCAAGGAGCTGCTGCTCTTCGTCGAGGAGCGTATGCTCACCTGCTCCTCTGCAGCAGCAGCAGCAGCCGCTGCCGCTGCATTCTGTCGCAAGATCTCTACGTTCTGCTTGCTCTTCTCCAGCGTCTTCTGCCAATCTGGCTGTAGTTTACTTGTCTCCAGGCATAAATTGCGTCGCTTATCCTCCACATTGATTGTGCTCTGGTTGGTCGACGGTTCGTTGGCCAGCTCCGTTTCCTCATCGCTGTGCGCGGCAGCTGTTGTTGGCTCCGCTTCGAGCGGCTCGGCCAGATTGCTGTGATTGCTGTCCGTCGAGGTTTTGGAGATGCAGCTCAGCCGCTTCTTCTCGCTGCTGCTCAACAATTTTTTACGCTTGCGCAGCTCGTTGGCTAGCTTTTTGCCCACGGCTGCTTCGCTGAAATATTCATCTGCTGGCAGCGCATGCTCATTGTCAGGCGCCTGCTCCTGCTCGGGCTCATTCAGGCTGGACTCGCCGGGCGTCTTCTCTCGCGTCAGGCGATACGTTTTGCGGCTCTTAATCCTTTCATGCTGCGTTAGCACCTCGGTGACTCGCTCGCAGTCGCCCACGAAGCGTTTCACATCGTCGCCACAGCCGCCGCCAGCACTCGAGCTAATTGTTAGACTATCTTCCTTCTCGATGCTTGTCTCGCGCAATTCGGAGTCCGATTCGAAGTCGCTGCTCTCCGAATTGTCAGTAATGTCCTGTTCGAAGTGCAGCGATGGCTCCTGCTCGACTGCTGGTGGCGGCAACTGTGCCATGTCGCTCTCATCCATGGCGCTTGCTAGCTTCTGCTCCAGTGGCGTTTGTGGCGCATCTTTGCCAGCTGTGTGCACTAGCTCAATGCGTGGCTCCTCTAAATCGGTTTCATCATCGAAATCATGCGCATTCTCCAAAGGATTTATGATTAGTCCAATGGTATTGATGTCCTGCAAGGCTTCGCTGGCTAGCGGCGTTTTGTCGCTCACAAAATTTGATGTTTTATTGGTTTTGCCACTCAACGTGACTCCAAAGATCTTTTTGGGCAAATGCCTGATGGGACTCTTTTTCTTGCCGCCGCTGTTGGCACCGCTGCCACCACTGCTGGCCGCCTCCATGTGATGATACTTGACATTACCCTGCTCGGAGCTAATGGCATAGACATCGCGCTCAAAGGCCGGCGCCTGTTCCTCATCGCCAGCCTGTTCAACGTCCGCTGACTCGCGATACAATTGCTGCATATGAACAATGCCCACTCGCTTCGAGTTCGCCGAGAGCAGAATCTTGTAGAGCGGCTTGGTTAGACGCGCCAAATCGCCGCGCAAGAGCGATGCCTGCAGCCAATTGGTCACGAAAGTCCGTTCGGACATGTAATGTGGCAGAGCGAGCGTGTCGAGCACCTTGAGCAGCGTCTTCTCGAATCCTCGCGACATCTGCTTCTCCCTGCCCAGATGCCAGAGCAGCTCAAACTTCTTATAGCTACGCGCCTGACTCTCGCGCAGACGATCCATACAGGCCATGGGACAAAGCAGTTGGGCATCTGTCACCCGTTCCAATTGGAAGCTACGCAAAGCATTCCCAGTGCCAAGTGCAGTTTGCGCTTGGGTCTGTAGCAAATGCTGGGCATGCATGCGATTGCCAATTACAGTTTCAACCAAGCCCGACTCCAGACAGCTGTGCAGCTGATGCAGCAGTGCTGCAATCTGGGCAGGATCTATGCCTGGTGTGCCCAAATAGTCCCACAATATGGAGCTGACCAGCTGGAAGACGCGCGTACGCTGCTCCATGTGGTTAACATGTCCAAATTTCAGCAGTGGCAACATGACAACAAACGTGACACCTGGACTGGTCGTGTGCTCGATTTGTGAGCGCAAGAGGCTGCGAATTAGAGATGTGTTAATTAAGTAGCGCTTGCTTATGATAAATAACAAGAGTTACCTAATCAAATCGAAGAGCGTCGTGATGGCAGCCACCTGCAGCTCTTTGTCGCTCTGCGCAAAGCAGGCTACCAGGCAGAGCACCTTCAGCCAGTTGGGCAGCTCTGGTTCTGCAAGGCAGCAATCAATTAATCAGAGCTCAAATAGTATAAACAGTAAACTCTATTTACCATTCTTATCGAGCACAATGTGCTTATTACAATTGGGGAACGTGGACATTTCCACTAGCAGCGTCGCAGCCAATTTGACGGCATTGCGCAAAGCGGTTGGCAGCTGCAGCTCGGCTAGCTGTTGCACGTTGCGCTGCGTCTGTGTATCAACTAACAGCTTCTGCTGCGGCTCCTCGGCTGCATCGCTGTCGCTGCTCAGCTCACTGACGCTCATTGTGGGCAGCGAAAGATTGAGTAAACGTTGCAGCTGCTTCGCGCGGGGCACCAAATCCACCCGTAATAGTCCAAACAGTCGCTCGATTTGTGACTCACGGGCTGGGCATTGATACTCCAGTACCTGCTCGACCATGAACAAGGCCGAGCTGTGACTAGAGCTGTGACTAGAACTGCGTTGCAGCTGCACTTTGATGGCGCATTTGTTGCTGCCATCGTTGAGTTCCGAGCTGTTGGGCTTTGTTTCGATCTGCAGCAGTTGGCGCGCCAAATAAACCTCAAAGAATATCTCATATTGTCTAATGCACTTCTCTAGTATGGAAAATCCACGTTGTTGCGTTGCTTTAGAGTGCTCATCGTCTAGTTGAAATTCGGGACAGTGCTGGGGAGGTGCACTTTTGGGTGGTTCCACGCCAGCCTCGTCCGTGACTTCAAGTGGCGGCGCAGTTTGAGGCACAATCACAATATCACTTGGTCGTGTTTTCTTCGGGCTGCTTCGTATGAAAGGCACCTTAGCCTTGGACTTCACTTTGATCTTCTTAATGCTGCGCGGCGTGTCCAGATCTGAAGACGACTGCTGGCCCGTGTCCGAGTTGCTTATCTGCAATAGGAAGCGATGTTGAATGGGAACAATTTATAAAGAGACCGAGCTGACTTACATCCTTGTCTAGTTCGGAGAGTCGTGAAAACGATTTCGCTTTCTTTTTGGGGCTATGTCTCACCACGCTCTGATTGGATGCGGAGCGTCTAATGAGCTCTTCGTCATTGGGCTCGGCGTTTTGTGAATGCTCCCCAAATTGATTCAGACGTGAATCAGATTTACTTTTCTCCAATGCATTCGCTTGTGCCGCAGACTCTAAAGTGTTGTGGCTGCTGCTGTTGGCATTGACAATCTTCTCCTCTGATTCAGAGTTGCTATGCTGCTCCATTAGTTTTTTCAGCTTAATTGGGCTACTACAAAGATAAGATTATAAAAGATTATATATATATATATAACTTGGGAGTGAGAAAGTCCTTGTTTACTTACGTTATCATTGGCTGAACACGCGAGACAATCTTCATGCATAGCTTCAGTGAGGCGGTGACCTCGTCACTGCTCAAGCGATCCATGTGAAGGGATAGCAGTTGGGTGATTGAGAGAAATACTTTGGGCAGATAGACACGCGTAGTTTCCGTATACATTTCCAGTGAGATGGTCTCCAATAGGAATTCGGTTAGTATACATATTTCTAGAACACACGGATCGCCGGAGCCAACGATGCTGGCGAATTTGCCATCGCTATTGGACTGGGCAGAGCTGGGCGCCAGTTGGCAGGCGCGCTCAAACATGTTGGTCATATAGCTCCATATGTAGGCCGGATCGAACGTAGCAAAGAGCAGATTGGCCGACTTGAGCGCGTCCGCATTGCTGCTAGAAATGTACATCGCTCGTATTATATCATGCAGCACAAAGTCTAGCACGGCGCTGCCGATCTCCGCCTTGTCCAACAGCGAGAGCATAATGCGATACGGCTTCAGATCCATTGGCTGACACTCCAAGCTCAAGCGCAGCGTATTAACTAATGCACTGATGAGTATATGCCGGGAGTGTGTAATAAAATATGGTTCCTCCTTCTGTCCATCGACGGGCGCCGCCGAGTCCAGTGACAGTGTGTCATATGTGGGTGAATTCTTGGTTATCTCGCTGGCCAGCAGCCATGAGAATAGACGCCTATTCAATGACATATCACGTCGTAATATTGTGTTCAACCCATTTGTGACTAGCACCACGAGCTGCTCCTCTTCCAGCAGTTTTGTGTGCATTGGAAAGCCCAGCAGCAGGAACTCCAGCGTATTACGCTGCACCAATATCAGAGTATCGTTGAGGCAAGCGCACAGCGCCGACATCATAATCTCTCGATTGTGACCCATGATATATGTCTGCTTCTCCATATCCAGCCGCTTGTTGAAGTGCTCCAGCAGAAACGTAATGGCAGGCAATCGGATTGATGCATTATTGGCCACCGATTCCCACAGTACAGTATAAAAATGCATTGGATTGACGGCCAAGCAGACATTTTTGAGCAGCGCACTAATGCGCTCAAAATGATCCAAGCCACAATCATAGCCGGGCAGCACACCACTGAGAAATCCGCTCAAGGCTGGCCGCAGCTTATCGCCCAGCGGCACGAAATATGTCTCATAGATGGTCAACAGAGCTGGCCGCACGTTCATGGCCGCATAGCCCAGCAGCGGAAAGAGCCCAGCACTGTAGAAGGGTAGATAACAAATGTGAGCACAAAGAGAAAAATGTTCGGGGCCGCGAAACTCACCCATAAATAAACTCTGTGGCCAGACGCTCGGGTCCCGTCTTGCTGAATATCACGGAGTACGTTTCCAGGGCCTTCAAATGCACGCCGGAGGGCAGAGCGGGATGCATGCACTGAGCGAGTCGCTTGGCTATCTTCAAGCGTCGCGGTATGACCTGGTACTGCGCATTACTTGATATGGCCTATCGGACGAAAAAAAAAGTTTCAGATTAATTACAATAAATATAGTGACTACAATTAAATAAGTTTCATTAATATGCGAGTATATGAATGCAGTTCTGTAAGAGAGTTAATAAATATTTAAGGCACGATATCATTTTAGTATATGAATACTTTAAGAATATATTGAATTGAGTTTGATCTTTTGAATAACAAATATATAAATAATATTTAACAAACAGTTATATAATTCTGAACTATTTCAAGTATTTCAGATGTTTATAATTATTTGTGTGTTTTTCTACTTAAGCATCATTCAGATCTTTTTTGTAATAAATTTAAACATAATATGTAGCTAAAGCTATTGTTATTAATTTTACAGCATTTTTTAGCTGTACAAAAATAAAAAAAAATAAAATATTTAAATTACCCCATTACCATTTTTAGTTTTATTCAAATTGTTAATATATTTATTTAAAAAATCAAAATAACCAAAACTATATATATAAACTCTAAGCTAGATATATATAATAATATTCTATATTTATATTTAAATTGTTTTAGAATCTATCAAAAATCGAAATAAGAAAAATAAAATATATTTTTCAAGTTGTTTTAATATTAAATAATAGCGATTTAAAAACACATCTCAACACATCTAAAGCTTTAAAACTCATTGAATAAAAATAAAAATAAAAATCAATAAATCGTTTTAGAAACTTTTTATGAATGACATGGCTTGAACTAATTGAAATACTCTTTTTCAGAAACATGAAAAATCCCTGAAAACAATTGCGATAAGACAGTCGACGACGATATTATTCAAGCACAACAACCGGGTGAATCAGAGTTATGGGCAAATAATGCTGGCTGTTCTATATTCTATATATATGTATATAAAAATATTCTGTTATAATTATAACAGCTGGCATGAAGTAGTAACGGCGCGTGGCGCTAGTTGATGGTTTACTATGTATGATATGGGTCAGCGTACCTTGCTTAGTTTGCCTAGAGCCGCAATTAGATCCGCCCACTCACTGGAATATTCAAAATTGCGCAGCGCTTTATCAATGTTGGTCATATATTGGCGATATTTTGCCTCGGCCATGAGCTTCTGCTCCTCCAAGAGCGTGTCCGCCGACTCCATAGCGATGTTTTCAACTGAATCGATAGCTTCAGAAGAAGGAGAAAGGGAGAGAGGGGGAGAGAGAACGAGACACTCCAATTGAAAACAACAATAAGAAAAACCAAAAATCAATAACAATTAACAAACACTTGTTGCCGCCGCACTGCGCGTCGCGTCCTTGAGTCTTTTTAGTAGACGCTGACCGTTTGTTTAAACGGTAAATGCATATACACACACACATACACATACGCACACGCACATAGTTAATGAGTGTGGCATCCAGCGCACACGCGTCTAAAAAAATCTGCGTCAGCTGCAGCTACTGCCAACACAATGGACAAAAATGTTGAAATCACTAGCGAAAAATACGTTTGTATTCGTGTGTGTATATGGATTCTTTGTTCGCACATCTGTATTTGGCAGCAAATTGTATTTGTTATTGTTTTTCGCTTTGGATACACATATTAACACAAATGTATTTATTTCACCTTATTAACCCCCTCTGCTAGTGGGCAGAGCACAGTTTATTATTTTTTTCTTTTTGCCTTCTTTCTTTTGCTGCTGCTCCCGCTGCCGTTGCCGTTGTTGTTCGCACTCTCGCGCACGTCAAGCAATTAACTACGAATGCAATTACTGTGACGACGACTCGAGACTTGCGACCAGCTGATGACGAATTTTATTTGCTGACAGACGACGGCGCACGTTTGTCACTTTGTTTATATCCTGCTATTTACGTTGTGTAATGCTTGCTCAGCGACATTTTGCGTCGCTCTTTGTTATTTGCACATAATTTTTATAATTATTTATTGATTTACATTGCAAAAAATCTCATGTCAAAATCACAATAACTAGCTGACTTCGATGGTCGTGGTCGTACATTTTCTAATATACTGTTGCAAATATCGATATATCGATAGATATACCATACTATGCTAGAATGACACTTACATTTTTCTGCCTTCCGATATTTGATTGTTGCGAATATATGCAAAAATAAACATTTCGCCGTTTTCATTATAAATTTTTCTTTAATTGTTGCTTGTTGAGGGAATTTTACAAAATAAAAATGCCTAATGAAATTTACTACTACTTTCTTTATGGCTAGCTATGCTTGGCATGAACTTTAAGCTAATTTTTACAAAGTTCCATTTTGCCAAATTTTTTAAAATTAAATTTAGTTTGAATCTTTGCTGTACTTTATGTGTTTTTACTAAAAATGCCGTTAAATGCGAATGAAATAAATGAATGCAATTAATTCAAGGATAATCATATACATTTTGATGTGTATTAGAACTTCACATCTGATTAATCCTAAAACCTCTAATATTTGTAAAATTTGAAAGACTTTTCATCATATCAAAGTCAATATATTTTATAGTTTCACAAACTGAATAAATTACTAAAAGAAACATTTCGGAAATACTTTTTAAAAATAATAGTTTTTTAAATGCAAAAATTAGCATGAAATAAAAATAAATGATTAGATTAATCCACGAGTTGTTTACATCTTGCAAGAGCTTTACTTTTTCTTCTTGTTCTTAGTTTGGGTCGCAGCTACTGGAGCGCCAGTAAGCGTCGCCAGTTCCTTCTTCAGATTTAACAGTGTTTCGACTTCGGGCTTCCAAACGGAGGCATCTCCGGTAGCCTTTAGATTGCGCACCTTTTCGCCCTGTTGCGTGATTTTGTCTTCTAGCGCTTTGACTGCTGCTACATCTGTTGCTGCTGTTGGTGTGGCAGGTGCTGGAGCTCCTTTGGCTGCCTCAAGTTGCTTCTTTAGATCTAGCAGCTTGTTGACTTCTGGCTGCCAAACGGCTTTGTCTTTTGTCGTTGACTTGAGCTGGCGAACTTTTTCGCCCTGTGCCTGCACTGCCTGTTCCAGTGCTTCGACAGATTGCCCAGTTGGAGCTGGTGCTGCTGCTGCTGCTGCTGGTGCTGGTGCTGCCTTTTTCAATTGATTCTTTAGGTCAAGCAACTTGTCAACCTCCGGCTGCCAAACAGATTTGTCTTTTGTGCTTGCCTTAAGCTCGCGCACTTTGTTCGCTTGCGCCTGCACCGCTGCCTCCAGATCCGCTGAACTCGATTGTTCTTGAGCTGCTGCTGCCTGGCTGCCACCATATTTGCCTTTGAGCTCATCAATGAACGATTGCTCCAATTTGGTAAAGAGCGGTGAAGGCTTGCCTATCTTGTGGCCAGTGGGCAAGAGCATCGTGGCCAAAGGTTTGCTGGAAATGTAATCAAATATTTAGTAAAAGTCAGAACAGTTAGCTCGAGATACTCACTTAGCATCTAGCGGCGTTTGCTTGGTTTTCAGCTGCGCGAACATTGTGCGCGCTGTGGTAGGCATATAGGGGAATAACAAGTTGGCCAGCAGACAGGCTATATTCGTACACAATCCAATGATCGTGGCAGCGCGCGCCTTCTGATCATTGCTGCCCTTGAGCAGCACCCAAGGCTGTTGGGTTTGCATATAGCCATTGCCGTGTCGAGAAACGGCCAACAGATGACGTATGCCATCGCGCAACCTGGCCTTCTCCAAGGAACTGATATAACCACGCAGTTCGCGATTGATAAGTGCCAATAGCACCAGATCATCCTGATTGAGCACAATCTGTGGCACGGTGCTATCGAAGTTCTTCTCGCAAAAGACCAGAGCTCGATTCACAAAGTTGCCCAGGTTGTTGAGCAACTCCGAGTTGTTGCGTGCAGCCAAATCATTCCAACTAAAGCTGGAGTCCTGACCCTCTGGACGTGCGGAGGCCAAATAGAAACGCCACACGTCAGCGGGTATGCCCGTCTCCTGGGCATCATTGCCGAAGACACCAATGCCTCGACTCTTGCTAAATTTGCCATCCTCATAGTTCAGATACTCCGTGGCCATAATGTGACTAACCAATGTGTTGCCCTTATTGATGGCCAACAGCACAGAGGGCCAGACAACCGAGTGGAAGGGCACATTATCCTTGGCCATGAATTGGAAGAGCTCGACATCGGTGCCAGCTGCCGGTTGCCACCATTGCAGATACTCCTTGGTGTAGCGCTTGGTAATGGACACATAACCAAATGGTGCATCGAACCACACGTAGAACACCTTCTTCTCGAAGTTCTTGTGCGGCACGGGTATGCCCCATTTGAGATCGCGTGTAATGCAACGTGGCTTCAGGCCCTCGCGCAGCCAGGCGCGGGTTATAACACGTGCATTGTTGGTCCAGCCATGTTCGGCACGATCTACCCATTCACGTAGCTGTGGTTCTGATTTGGGCAAATCGAGGAAAAGCTGATCGGAGGAACGCAGCACTGGTGCAGTGTTGCACACCTTGCAACGTGGACGCACCAGCTCGGTGGCATTTACAAGCTTGCCGCACTTATCGCACTGATCGCCACGTGCATCCTCATAGCCGCAGCCCGGATGTGGACAGGTGCCCTCCACGAAGCTGTGAAGTTAAAACAGAGTATTTAATAGAGAGTTCAAGTATTTATATAGCTTCTATATACCGATCCGCTAGAAAACGATCGCATTTCTGGCAAAGCAGCTGCTCCACGCTCTCCGTCAGTATGTAGCCTGCATTGTACACATCCTTGAAAGCCTCTTGGACAATACTAAAAGCGAATGATGGATGCATGAATACGACAATCTGATTTTAGATAAATATATTGAAGCTAACTCAGTTTGTTCCTGCGTGGTGGTGCGTCCAAAGTAATCAAAGCCAATGCCGAACCAGCGGTATATGGAATTGTGCAGCTCGAAATACTTGTCGCAGATCTCACGCGGCGTCATGTTCTCAGCTAAAGCCTTGTTCTCCGTTGCCGTGCCATATTCATCCGTGCCACAGATGAGCAGCGTATTGTAGCCAGCTGCACGTGAGTAGCGTGCAAATATGTCAGCCGAAAGCACACAGCCAATAATGTTGCCTAGATGAGGAACATTGTTGACATAGGGTAACGCTGAGGTGATGAGCACATTGCGTTGTCCAGGCTTTGGCAGCACAGTACGTGGCTGTGACAGCTCCTCGGCTTTGGTGTATATGAAGGCTGCGCGTGCTGCATTGATTTCCTCATCGGAGACGGTGTCTGCCACAGTTGAGGCTGCTTCAGCCAGCAGTTTGCCTGCATCCACAGAGCTGGAACGCTTGAGCTGGACATGCTGTAAGCCACCATAACGATTCGATTGCTGCAGCGCATTAAAGGTAAGATCCTTTATGGGGAGCTCCTTCAGACCCTGCTGCACCTCCGGCATAGCCTTGATTTTATCATACCAGTTGCGCAGCTGATCCACATTTTGGGCACCTTTCAGTGTACCATCTGGAGCGAGCAGGCACCAAATGCTAAGATCAGCAGCGCTTAGTTTATCACCTGCCAAAAAGGGCGAAGTACTGAGGCAATCGTTGAGCTTCTTCACTAATCCATTGAGCACAGGTAAAGCATTTGGATCGGCGCGATGACCCACGGCCATGTGATGTTCGAGAGCTGGCGCCAATAACGTTGTTGACCATTCCAGCCACTAAATGTACAACAATTAATTAGCTCAAATTCAATTAACCTTGTATGCGGGCGAACTTACCTCGTCCCTCCGCTGACCCTCATCGCCCAGCAAATATTTTGCTATGGCTGCACCAGAGAACAAACGCAAACCATTGTCCAGCTCCAGAGTGGGCAGCACAAGCAAATCCTTGTGTTTAGCATCTGTAAATTGCATACATTATTGCATCAGTTAACCGTTATTCGAATGTTGCACGTTGCCGGCCTGCGGTACTTTTTTTCTTAATCTTACCATTTAGGTTAACCAACTGGACTTGTGCCGTCTTCTTGGCAAATTTTGCCAGCACTAACAGCTGCAGGCCCAACGGATTGCCCTCGTTTGTATAAATGATCATTTTACAGCGGTCGGCAGTTATTTTTAATAAATTAACGTGGCAAAAACGGGTTAAAAAAGCCTCACAGCACAATCACACGCGTATTGTTAAGTATATAAATATATATGTATGTCTACTAGATATGAGCAAATAAGCGATAACTATCGTTTAGCATAGTCTAAAATAGTGTTATCGTTGCAACAGCTGTGCTCGACAGAGGGCGCTAGTGTGCTTATACGTATGTAAACAATTTGTGTTGTGCCTCTCCAGAATTTGTAAATTTTGAGCTAAAATGGGTGAACGCAAGGGGCAAAACAAATACTATCCGCCTGACTATGATCCAAAGAAGGGCGGACTCAACAAATTTCGTGGTACGCATGCACTGCGGGAGCGTGCACGCAAAATCCATCTGGGCATCATCATCATCCGCTTTGAAATGCCGTACAACATTTGGTGTGATGGCTGCAAGAATCACATTGGCATGGGCGTGCGGTACAATGCGGAGAAGACCAAGGTGGGCATGTACTACACCACGCCAATATACAAATTTCGCATGAAATGCCATTTGTGTGACAATCACTTTGAAATCCAAACGGATCCTGGCAATCTGGACTATGTGATACTATCTGGAGCACGTCGACAGGAAAATCGCTGGGATCCACTGCAGAACGAACAAGTGGTGCCTGAAACCAAAGAGGTGCAGAAACGGCTCTTCGATGATGCCATGTACAAGCTGGAGCATCAGGCGAAGGATGCGCAGGCGGCCGTCAATGCAAAGCCTATGCTCCAAAAGATCGTGGAGCGTAATCAAAGTGTTTGGGATGACAACTATGTAGCCAACTATAAGCTGCGCGCCACATTTCGCGAGCAAAAGAAAGAGCTGAAAGGACAACAGGAACTGGATCGACAGCTTCTGGCTAAGAGCAGTCTGGATATAGCTTTATTGCCAGAGACGCAGCAAGATCGAGATATGGCTGCTTTGATGAAATTGCAAACTCGAAGCGCTTTAGAACGAGAGTCGGAGCAGCGTCTGGACCTGCTTATGAGACCAGCATTACCAGGTGCGACGTCAACAACATTTGGTGGCTTAAAACGGCAAAAGGCGTTGAGCACGCAACTGCAACTGCAGGATTTGGGCATTAAGCGTAAAGAGAAGCCAGTGAAACCGTCGGGGGCAAGTGATCTGACAAAAGCTGGAGGAGTAGCAGAAGCGGTTGAAACAAAAGCAACAAGAGACGCAGAGACTGGATCAAAAGAAGCAGAAGATGGAGCTCATAAATCAGCTAGTACATCTGACGAAACAAACACTAAAGGAGGGGCAACAGGTGGAGCACAAGCTAGTTCGGCAGAAGGCAGCTTAGAAGCGGGAACAGCTGGAGCAAACGATATAGGAGAAGCAGCTGCGATTGAAGATAAGGCGATTGGAACGGGCAATACAGCATTGCCAACAGCTCCTAGTGCACTCAGTCTGGTATGCGATTATGTCAGCTTCAACTCTAGCTCAGAGGCTAACAGCTCCGATTCCAATGACTAAACTGATCTATCAAGCTGCACACAATAAATTGAATTGATTTAATCCGAAAAAAAATTATATAACATTTGATACCTAAATAACTTGTTCAATACATTCCCTCGTTCTGATCCTCTATGGCACTCTCCATGCTCTCATCAGCAATGGGACCTACATTATCGTTCGAATCAGTCTTATAGAGCACCTCACAGACCCGATTGCAGAAGTCCACATGCTCATTCTTGGTGATCATCTCAGTTAACAGAATCTCAATTTTACGCAGCTTGTCATATGCCTGATCACGCGTCTCAATAGTGTTGGCAATTTTTAAATTTAGATCCGATATGGTGGCAAGGAAATCATGCGATGCCTTCTGCTGCTGCTGCTGCTGTTGTAGTTGTTGTTGCTGCTGCTGCTGTTGTTGTTGCTGCTCGTCTTTGATGAAGCCACGTGGTTTGATGGGCTTTGGTTGGACAGCATTTGCTGCTGATTTAAGGTTCTCCAGGCCAGGCGCTTGAGAGTCGAAAAACTTCTTGAACCATTGCAGGAATTCGAAATTATCTTGGAAGCGTCCCTTGATTAAGCGTTCCAGTGGCACCGTCTTGTCCAACTTGAGGCGTGTAAGAGCGCCCTGGAATAGTTTCATATTGTGAAAGAATTCGTGCTCCAGCTTTGCAGACATTTTAACGCGCTTCAAGTTGATGCAATTGGGAAAAATCATGTCCATCATTTGACAATAGGCAACGCCTAAATGCAATTAGATCTTAGATGTTATCGATTCTTTTTCATGTATCTTATTATCCCTTACCCGATGACATCTCCTCGATCTTCTTAAAGTGACCATTCACCATATTGTTTACCCAGTCGAGCATTTGATGGCGCGACATATTTTCGGAATTTGCACTGGTTAGCGATACGGTGGGCTTTAAATCGCTCATCCTCCAATCTAATGTAACTTTATATATATATATGTATATATATAAAATAATTAATATATATATATTTATATATATATATATATATATATATATATATCTAAAACAAAAAATAAAAATTTATATATATATATATATATATATATATATATAAATATAAGTCTGTGTATGTAAATTATATTAACTGTAATACTCCTGCAGCTGTGTTTGTTTTTATGACTTTCGGGAATTGATCGTCGAATGCGGTACATATAAAAATATACATATATATATATAAATATATATATATTCGTAGTTTTTTTTTTTATAAATGGATAAAGTTTGAGCTAAATTCACTGCCTACTTTAATCACCTACCTATACAAAACTGATTTAATATAAGTGCGTACACTGTTATATTAATTAATTTATCACAATGAATTCTCCTATGCTTGCTTTGTTACTGCTCTTTCTTTTCTTTTTGATTTGAGCTTTCGGTGGAATGGCAACGCTGCCTAAAGCGGCAGGATTAAATATCAGTTGTTCGTTAAAGTGAGACATCGATGACACATATCGTTTAGTATCGATATTTGATTGATTGTGTATATTGTTATTATTCAAATTTTATTCGATCTTAAGATTCTATGTCCATGCTATGTGTACAAATATTTCATTTATTTATTTTTGAGTTAATAAGTTAATCTCTATTCCTGATTCACAAATTATTACCTTTTCTAGTAATATTTAATTAATTTTGCACATCACTGTAATTTGAAGCAACAGGATCAAATATCAGTTGCTCGCTAGGCATCGATAACAAGTATCGCTTAGCCTCGATAGACAATTAAGTATGTTAAGTAGTTTTGCTATTCAAACTTTATTCGTAACTTACAAAGATTCTATTTTAAACTTGCTTTCAACTTTCTTAACAAAGTCAATGAAATCCTTGTACAACACCTTGGGCAACTCCATCGCCGCAAAGTGTCCACCTCTTCTGTAGTATGAGCTGTGTATCAAATTCTTATACTTGTCCTTCAATTGCAGATCCAGGAAGTGCATTATATCACCCTTAAAACGAGCACAGCCCGTGGGCACAAGTGTTGGCACACGGTCCAGATTCAGTTCTTGCTGTTCCTTAGTATACGCCTCGGCGTAGAGACGCTGTGAGGTTGTTATGGAGTTGGTCAAATAGTAGATCATCACATTATCAAATAAGGCGTCCAGTTTGTAGCGCTTCTTCAAGCCGCCATCGGGCAGCGAGCGATAGCTGGCATTTGTCCATGTGGAGAACTTTTCGAGGATGTAGGCTGCCAGGCCAACCGGATTGTCCGTCAGTGCAGCACCCACAGTATCCGGCTTTGTGGCCTGCAAATGGAAATAGCCGCTCTCCTCTAATAAATAACTGAACTCCTTTGATTTAGGAAAGAAGAAATCCACAAAGCCGCTCGGCGCAAACAAACTCGGCCAGACGCTAGCTAGCAGACCCTTTACTTGCGATTTGGGAGACAAATTGTTGCACATATTCGAATGATAACCCAGCACATTTTGCGGATACAGCGTGGCTATATGAGAACCCAAAATAGAGCCCCAATCGCCGCCTTGTATAAAGAACTTATTGTAGCCCAAACGCAACATTAAATTGCGAAGCATCACAGCCATCTGGGCAGGACCCAAGCCTGGACGTGATGTGCCCTTAAAAGCGGAATTTATAGGCATATAATTAAGAGGAGTATATTGGTCTTATAGGCTTACCTGTGACCAACCATAGCCCGGCAAACTGGGCACAATTACATTGAATATATATTTGTTGTTCGGATCCAAATTGGTTTGATGTAGCATGTGTATCAAGTCATAGAACTCCCGCACCGACCCGGGCCAGCCGTGCAGCAGGAGCACCGGATAGTGTTTTTTGCCCACCTTATTTTCATCGTAGACCATCAGGTTAAAAAAATGCATGCGTAGACTAAACGAAGTGGTTATCAATGGACTCATTGACTGATAAGCGCTTATCATACAAACCCTTGGATTTCCGTGGTGAAGTGATTGAATTGCCACAGGAAGACTTCACGTTCGCGCCAACGCGGCAAATAGTCATCACGCCAATAGGCGACCAGTTCCTTCAAATAATCGCTATTGAAGCCATATTCAAAAGCCACGCCCTCCAGAGGAGGCGTTAGCCGAAGCGTGCGATTCAATTGCTTAATCAAATCTTGAATAGTCTACGGGAAAGAAAGAGAAAACAATATAGTTGGGCCACTCTATACATATATATTGAGCTAAAGCTCTTCGCTCACCGTTTCTGGATACAAAAGACGATTGCCTATCACTTCGGAGGTGTTGCTCAAATAGGCTTCATAGTCTTTCGGCTGTTCTTCATCGCCCCACCATTGTTGAGCGTCAAGCGTAGGCGGTGGCAAATCGCCCCACAGCTGATTCAAGCGCTTGTAGAACATCCCGCCGCCGATGGCTAGCAGCAGCACCAATAAACGTGTTACAGGAGACATATTCACTGTCTAGTTCCACCTCTCGCTTCAAAGGTTTCCGTCACACTAATCTGATAGAGGTTTATTTGAGATTGCACTTCTAAATGTTTTTTTTTTTCATTTTGTTTTTTTGTTGTGATCGTTTAACTTCGCGCACACACACGATGATAAGCACTTTCGTTTGCTTACGCTACACTACGCACGAGAGATCGTTTGGTTTTCAATTAGCTTTTGACGGTCCAACTATAGGGGGAAGCGGCTTAACTTTGTCGCATAGGCCGCTTGCGCTAGCCGGTTTAAAAGCTGATTGACGAAGCATGCTTTGCATGTTAGATAATTTTAGTTATTGTGAGGTATTGGCAACACAGCTGTGCGCTGGTCAAGGCATTTAAAATTGGATAAAATTGGATTGGATAACATATTAATGAGATTTTATAAGTGGATTGTGGGTTAAGAGGACTTAAATAATTACCATTGTTTTTAATTTTCTGTCAAAATGAGAACAGTGTCATTAATTATGTTTGCTGTTTAAATTATAAAAAGGAAAGAAATAATACTTAAATACGATTTGGCCTAAGTTTGGCTATTCATATGTACAAAGTTATATATTTACGGGTTACTTAACTGCAAGCCTTCTGTCTCTCTTTTATCTAGTATACGTATACGCAGTATAAGAGTACTTAGCTTGCACAGTATAAGTATGTATGTAATATAATAATTATGGTAAAAATAACTTTCCTCCGTCTCAGTAAATCAAACGTTTATACTATAACTGCAGCGCATTTATAGGTCGCAAATACCCTGCTATCATGTTATACGAAACTTTAAGCTTTGTATATGTATTGAAAACAATTATAAGTGCTTGTTCGTGTGAATGTGTGCACATATAGAGAACTTATTGTTATGCTGTAGACAAGTGTATATATTTATATGGGTTTCAACTATCAAATTGGAGACCTCTTGAGCATTGATAAATAAACAATCTTATCTAATTTATATTTTTTTTAAATATTTAAACAACAAAAATTTTTATTCATTCCCTGTGCCGTATTTAAAAGTACAACATGAATAAATAGACTCAAAAATTAATTAAATGCTTTTTGAACAAAGGACACAAAGTCTTCGTAGAGCTTCTGTGGCACCTGGAATGCTGGGAAGTGTCCACCGTCCGGATAATGTGTGCTATGTATCAGATTCGGGTATTTATTAGCCAGCACAGAGTCGGGCGCATGGAAGATTTCGTGGGCAAAACGAGCACAGCCTGCAGGCGCCTTGATTGGCAAATTTTCCAAATTCAAACTGAATTGTTCTTTGCTCAACGACTCAGAATACAAACGCATGGAGGTGGTTATCGAGTTAGTAACATAGTAGATCATTATGTTATCGAGCAGCTGTTCGTAGGTAAAATGTTTAGTTAAGCCGCCGTCCTTTAAGTTCTTATACGCTGGATTGGTCCATGTGGAGAACTTTTCAAGTATATAAGCAGCCAGGCCAACGGGATTATGTGCCAAAGCAGCGCCAATAGTATCTGGCTTGGTGGCCTGTATATGTGCATAGCCAAACTCTTCCATAATTGTGACAAATAAGTGGCCTACGCCCTTGTAGTACTCTGAGTATTGGCTGTCTATGTAAAAGGATGGAATGATGGAGGAGAGTATCAAACGTAGACTACCCAATGGGCTATTGTTGCCACACATATTGGAGTGATAGCCCAGCGTGTTCTCTGGGAATAGGCTGGCAATACTGCTGCCAATAGTGCTGCCCCAATCGCCGCCCTGAATGACGAACTTATCAAAGCCCAGACGCAGCATCAGATTGCGCAAGATCACTGACACCTGAGCGACGCCCATTCCAGGTCGCGAAGCACCCTAAAACGAGAGATAGAAAATATCTCAGTTAATTGGTTTAAAGATGAATATCGCGAGTTATTTACCTGTGACCAGCCATAGCCTGGCAAACTGGGCGCTATCACCTCGAAAACGTATTCACTCTTATCGCTGCCTGTGGTCAGCAATGGAATGAAATCATAGAATTCTCTAACAGTTCCAGGCCAGCCATGCATCAGGAGCAAGGGCAGCACCTTTTTGCCCTCTACATTAGTTGGCTTCGCATGTATAAAATGAATCTTCAAACTATAAATACACAAATAGTTAATTAGCATAACCCAATTGTTTCATATGCAAAGCAACATATAAATATGTATGTATGTATATGTGTATATGTATATATGTGTGTGTGTATGCAGCTTACCCTTGAATTTCAGTCTGGAAATGCTGGAATTTCTTAAGGAATTGCTCGCGTTCATTCCAGTTGGGCAAATAACTGTCACGCCAATATTTCACCACCTTTTTCAGCTCATTGGAATTGATACCGTATTCAAAGCCAATGCCTTCTAACGGTTCCTGTACTTTGAGCGGACGTTCCAGCTGTGCCTTCAAATCGGCTATAAGCTGGAAAGGGGAAAATAAAAATGAAGATAAATTGAATACATACATATGTATATTTATATATACATATGTATATAATTAATTTGATCTATGACCCACCTCAGGCGATACGCTTATGTCGAATGGCTTAATGGCTTTAATCTCTTGATATTGGCCCTTAAGCTGGGGTCCCCAATATTCATTATTATCCAAATCTGGACGTTTGCCAGGCGCCCCCAAGTCGCGGTAGTTCTTGTAGCCTACGGCGACTAGAAGCGCTAGGCCGCCGATCAGTATGCGCACTGTAGTCGACGCTGCAGATGGCATTTTAATTTTCTTATAATTTTTGTTTTTTCAATACAACCGGCGTCTGCTACCCGATGAGAAATAAACACAACCTCACGCTTTCGCTTGCCAAACCACACTGCCAAACCAGTGAGAAACAAGCAACGGTGACCGGTCCGTTTGCAGCTGCAAAAATGCGTAGTAGGAAAAAACACTAATATCATGATTGAGGGACGAAAAAGCATGAGCTGATATTTTCTGTATAAAGTTATACACCGCTGCACACAATGATAAAGTTCAGCAAAGCTAATAGTCAGGACATGAAAATATATTTAAAAAAAATTAAAATCATTTTAATACATTCTCGACTACAAATTATAAATATTTATTTCTATATTCATTTTAATACATTATTTTAAATATATACGTTTTTTCTGTATTTAATATTTGTAAGAGTTCTATAGTTATTACAAGCAACATAGTTGCTCTCTTGATCACCGTATGTTTGTCATTCTCTCTTTCGCACAAACACATACACACAGGCAAATGTGTATACAACCACGTAGATCGAGAAGCAACACAAACGAGTGACAGTCGTGCTTATCGTGAGCTAAAGCTGACACGAAAAACATATGTATATATTTTGCATAATTAACTAAGACACAAATTTATACAGTTACGACTTCCCTTAAATTTTTGCTTTATTTTATTGTAGTTTTATAAGGTATTCGGCACTTTCTCCAGGGGAATCCCTTTAATTTACATAAATGTTGTTTGTCGATAGCTTGTAAATAAATATAAACTCTCCTCCTTAGCCGACAACAGTTATGAATTGCGAGCATGACAAAGCAGCACGACAATTGATAATGTGAAATTTGAGCTTAACGATGACACGCATTAAACATATGTACAACGCCAACAATACAAAGTGCAGGTTACAGTGTTGGAAAGGAAAGGCAATGTTGAATTTGAAAGTGCACGCTATTTGAAATGATTAGAAATTTTAAATTGAGAAATTTTAAAAGCCTTCTTTTATAGTTTGTTACTTTTTAAACAAATTTATTCAGTTTCATTCAGTTTGTAGTCCAACTTTTTGAACAAATGTCGTAAAATCATTATACAACATGGATGGCATTTCCATGGCAGCAAAATGACTGCCATGCTGGAAATACATGCTATGCTTTATATTGGTGAATTTGTCCTTCAGCTGCCATTCGGATGCAGCGGGTAAATCAAACCTAAAGCGACAACAACCCATGGGAACATCAGTTTGCACACGTTCCAGCTGAAGATCCCGATAGGTCTTCGACGTATTCTCTGCATAGAAACGTGCAGCAGTCGTTGCCGCATTATTCAGATAATAGATCATTAGATTATCGAGCACAGCCTCCAGACCAAAGATCGTGACCATGGCACCGAAGTCCTGCTTTAAGCTGGGACTCGTGCAGGTCTGGAACTTTTCGAGTATATAGGCAGCCAGTGCCACGGGACTGGAGCTGAGTGCAGCTCCGATGGTATCCGGCTTGGTGGCCTGTATGTGGAAATATCCGCTCTCAACCAACAGCTCCTGATACTGCTCCCAAATGCCCACATGATGATCGTGGAACATGCGTGACTTGAGTACCTTATCCGGATAATAATGGGTGTAGATACCCTTGAGAATGGACAGTGGAGTGTTCATAATGCACATATTGGAATGGTAGCCGAGCACATTATCCGGATAGAGTGTGGCCAGATTGCTGCCAATAATGCTGCCCCAGTCGCCGCCCTGAATGAAGAATTTCTTGTGGCCCAATCTCAACATCAGATTACGCATGACAGTGGCCATTTCAGCGGCATTGAAGCCCACACGTGTGGCGGCCTGGATATTAAAATAAAAGAAAATTAAATCAATATTTATATCTATGTATATACACTTCTCTTATACTCACATCCGACCAGCCGTAGCCAACAAGAGAAGGCGCAACCACTTCAAAGGCATTATCAGTTATGTTTTGATCTTTAACCAGCATGGGTATAAAATCATAAAATTCCCGCACCGATCCAGGCCAGCCGTGGAGCAGCAGCAACGGATAGACATTCTTCTTGGCAGCCACCTCCTCAGACACACGCTCGTGTATATAGTGAATCTTTAAGCTGCAAAAATAAGAGAACACCACATGCGATTGCCTCGCTTAGTCAAGTCAGGGGAAATTCTCTCTTATACATGTCACGCATACAGTAATAGCTTGAGCATGAACTTGACCATACCATGCATGCACGCAGGCATATATTCAAACGTAGACGCCACTTGTAGAGAGCATTTGTCTCACACGAAAAATTCCACCCCAGCCCAATTTGCTATTTGCTGTGCTCTTTCGAGCGCTAATGCGATCGAGCCAGATAGTGTCTCTCTCAATATACTACTTTTGTTTTTGTTTACTCTCAGTGCTTTCTCTCTCTTTCTTCCTAATTGAATTTTTGAAAGTTTTGTATTTTAATTGTTGTTTATATTCTTCCAAGAATAAATTACTGCAAAATAGCTACAAAGTTTGCTACGCTCATAAGAAATGCAAATTTGAAGAGTAATTGATGCTCGACACAAGCATGCACGCACACACATTTACTTTTGCTCGCATGTGCGCACGTGTGCAGTATAAATGAATATGAATTTGTGTGAGTGGATTTGTCTGCCTTTTGATGATGTTTTGATTTGTTTGTTCTATATTTTCGATCGACGTGTTGTATAGCTAGTGATAATTAGAGCCACATGCTTACCCCTGTATCTCGGTTTTGTATTGCTTCAGTGAGTTAAGATAGTTTTGCCTTTCATCCCATTTGGTGAGGTATTTCTCTCGCCAGTATTCGACAAACTGCGCCAAGGCATTTGTATTAAATCCATACTCAAAGGCAATGCCGTCGAGTGGTTCGGTTAGCTTTAAGGTGCGATTTAGCTGTTGTCGCAAGTCATCGATTTCCGCTTGTGGCACATCCACAACAAAATCATAGATTTTCGTATCGGGCTTATAGTTCTTGCCATCTCCAGGTCCCCAATACGTGTCGTCTTTAAACTCCGGCCGGGGCAGCGGACGTGTCAGGTCTGTGAACAATAGATAACCATAGCCCGCAATGCTAGCAAGTATGGCCACAATCAGTCCAAATATAACTAAGCACTTCATATTTTTCTATTTTTTATTTTTTATATTTTTTATCTGCCTAATGACGAAAATCTTAATGAGTCTCATCGAGTATGCACGACTGTTCACACCGCTCGATGTTAACCAACTGACGATTGGCCCATGCTTTGACAGTCTAGCCAGCGTTAAGCTATACTATATATACGCACCGACGAAATTTATTGATATACGAGTAGTAAGTATTATACGTATATAAATAAATGATATGATAGTGGGCCTCGGCGGACAGTGGGGCGCATTCAGAATTTTAATTGAGCGATGAGAATCAGAAAATATGTTTTATATAGGTGTGTAGACATCGATAATTGAACTTTGATATTGATATTGACGTATATATAGGCTATAAGTATTTACTTGATATATTATTAAGCCATTTTATCGACATGAAATAGGGGTTGCATTTTTCTATATATATATATATAACAAACTATATCATATATTCTGGGAGGTATATTTTAGTCAAGTTATTTATTATATATTATTTATAAGTGTTAGTAAGGCTAACATATTTTATTGTATATTTTTTATTAAGATACAACTTAAAAAAAAAATATATTTTATTTTAATAAATTTATTATATGTATATACAAAAAAATATTCTTAAAGAAATTAGTTTCATTTTTTTAGTCCATTTTTTTCATTATTTTTATTTATTCATGAATTTATTATTATTTTATATTTTAATATTATATAAAATATACAAAATTTATAAATAAATTTATTATATGTATAGATAAAAAAAAATATATTCAAGAAATTACGTTTTATTTTTTAGTCCATTTTTTTATTTTTTTTTAATTAATATTATTTTATATTTTAGTATTAAAAAAGATATACAAAGACCATACTTTCGTGCAATTTTTAAAATACTAGATAGATTTTTTAGAAAAATGTTTTTTTTGGTTTTATTTATATATTTTTTTAAATTTTATTTTTTTTATTATTTTTTTTATTTTTTATTTTTATTTTTTATATAATAAATTTATAGTTATGTTACAAAAAGTTTGACATTCTTAAAGATAAAATATCTATAAGTAACTCTAGAAAAGCTAAGCGTAATACCTATTGAATATCAGAGATAAAAGAGAATATATAGAGTGTAATAATATTTTTATGACAGCTAAAACTTTTATTGATCACTTGCTCTTTCTATTATATATCATATCAGTCATCAATTTTAGTCAAAATTTCATCAAATCTAGTCACTGTAGCTCTGAGAAGTTTGTTACGAGCTCCGGTGTCGTCTGGAGAGTACCTGCTTATCGCAATCTTATCATCATTGAAATTATTTAAACTTATTTATTACTTATTTTCCGCTTCTCTCTGCTGCTGATGTGGCCTCAAACACTGGCAAACATCAGACAAGTAGGCCACGTGTTGAGGATCTTTGGACATCCGAGAATTTCCCTCGACTTCTAAGTAGACAATAAACAGATTTGAATATTTTTAAGAAAATTTCTATAATATACACACACACACTCTCTGACTATGGTCGATGGTGCCGCGCTGCACGTTTGCCCGCACATAACACTGAAGATGCAATCGGCCGATGGGGGCGTGGTGCTGTTTCGCATACGTCGCCTGATGCCGTTGGGCGAGCTGAAGGCTGCGTATTGCTCGCAAATGGGCTTGGCCAAGGATTTGGCTAGCCTCTTCTTCGATGGCGAGCAAATCAATGACAACGAAACGGCCAACTCATTGGAGCTGCAGGACGAGGATCTAATGGATGTGCTAATGAAGCAACAGTTCGAAGCGGGCGATGCGCCGGCGCTGGCCATGGATATGTCAATTAGCTAAGAGCAGCCAGCAGCAAAAACAAATCAAAAAGCAACAACAGCTGCACAAAAGCCTTTTGCACTCTATGCTGAAGACGCCTAACGGCTGAGGCATGTCAGGGCATTCCGGGCGCCGTCTTTGGCCTATAATCTTTGTATATTAGGCCAACAATTATGTCGTCGACAGGCAGCAGCGTTGCCCAGGAGTGGCGTCACAAAAGTGCCGGCGAACATGCAAGGCAACACCACCAACCCGCAACCCACCCACCCGACCACCTGCCGCCGCCCAACTGGGGCGGCTGAAACAATGCAAACATTTCGACATTCGTATTGCAAGTAAAATTAACGCAATTAGGCCGATGCATTGCAGCAACGACGTTTTTTTTTAGGTTTTCCAGGTGCCACGCCCACTTTGCGTGTGGCGCCCAAATCGAATGGCGAAATAGCACTTGGCAGCGTGTCAAATGCAGCCGTAGATATCCTCGCTGATTTCCATGCGCACACAATCTCGAGTCGAACGTCGAGAAATCATTTAATTGCCGCATTGAATGGGCCCTGAGCTGGTGGAGCTGGCCCCTTTGGGCTTAAGTAATTTGTTTGCAGCGCTTTATGGAGTGCTAGCCGAAGTTTTTTTCTATTACCCTGCAGCTAGCTGTGCTCAAAGGGTTAATTGTTTCGAGAAATAACAGAGCTTTGTTTCAGTTAACATTTTGCCGTTGCAGTTTACTAATTTTGCCTTTTCATAATATTTGCTAATATTTTAGTAAATTTTTTTTAGAATGAATTAAAACAGAAATTAGAAATGTTTATTTAACATATCTTTGACTTGAGAACTTTGCAGTTATAGAAAATACATTTTAAATGTTAAATTGAAAACACCATCGAAACCTCGACGTATTCCAAAATCCAAATATAACCCAAAAGCTATAAAAAAAAGTTTTGTTTTAAAAAATATTTTAAAATTCTAAAGCATTATGAAAAAAAAATTTCAGAACTTTAATCTCAGATGAAAGAGCTTTGAAATAGAACAGAAAAGGGTTAAACCTACATGGAGCTGAAAAATTTTTTCAAACTGGGAAAATTTTTAATTTACAAAAAGTCATTCTTAAGATCTTTTTGCATAATTAATTTTATCATTTATTAATTTTTGGCTTCCATTTTATACTTTTTTCTTTTAGCTAAAAGTTTCAAAAAATCCAAAAATTATTTTTATTTTGTTTTAGCTCTCAGACATATTCAAATACTTTTTAAGCTCAACTCAATTTTGATGTTTTCTGATACAAATCTGCAAGCTTCAAAAATTTGCTTGAAATATTTAAAATTTAATATATAATTGACAACATTTATTAATTTATACAATTTACATATTTTATCCAAAATTGATTTTCTGTTTATATTAAGTTTTTTATACATTTTTTTTCATATATTTTTATTTATTTTTATTTTTGTTTTCAGCATTTGCACTCAAAGAGCTCCAGCGAACCACAGGTTAACACACTGCCAGCTTTTCAGTTGACTTATTCATAATCCAGCATATGCTTGACTAGAACACATATGCCATCTGACTTAAGACTTTTCAATTGCAGCGCATCTGCTTAGTCGCGCATACTCAACTCGCAGCCATTTTGTTGATTTTTGTTTTTTTGTTTTTCGCTGTGTTTTGTATCTAGGACTATATAAAAGTTAGGTACTTTGAGTACACATAGTTTCCGGAACCGCCTCGTGTAATGGCCGCAATTATCATGAGCTTGGCACGCACCGCCATGAGGACGACGACGACGAAGTCGAGGTGGAGCAATCGTGGTGCATTGAACCGTTGGCAATTGATTTTTGACATGACAATTTTTTACAGGCTGTAAAGTCGTAATAGAAGCGACTAACTATATATATATATAAATAACTATATCGATTGAAGTAAATGAGCTAGAGATAGAGGAAGTGGGATCTAAGCTCGACGCTTTTTGTTGCATACTTTTAGGCTTTATGTGAATTTAGCTTAAAGTTAGGCAATAAGTGCTAGAGACAGCTAGAACTATGAGCTAAGCACTTGGGTATGTGCAATGTATATAAAGTTTATACACAATTCAGAGCTCAGAGAATATATACAAACATTTTTGAAAAGCTTCAGATACACAGACGGACCGAGCTGTCCTTCCTTCAGACGAACAGACAGTAAGATGTAATTTGCACAGAACCAATATACTCTTTTCACTATGTGAACGAGTGTGGAGACTGGCTGAACCTTTGTTCCTCTATCAAGCGAATCTAATTGTTATAGAGTACTTAAATTTAGCTACTTTCAAGCTAAAACAGCGGCGAGTTTCACACAACATTGAGGCTCAGGCGCACTACTATTTTAATGAACAGAGCTGTATATTAGAAAAAGCACTTATATAAAAATATCTATAAATACATGAAAATATATGTAAATATCATATATATAATAGAACAAATATTAAAATTCCATAACATTTCCCATCAATTAATTATCTTGATCAATCCATTCACCGTTTGCATCATTCCACACAGGAAATTCCCTTTTTTCAGGTCGATTTGTGCCATCAGCGCCCAATTCGTCATCATCAACCTGAGCGAGACTCAGCTGCAGGTAAGAAAAAAATACAGTTAGCTACAGTTCAGTCACAGTATGAGCCCCCGCCTCACGCACTCACCCCGCACAGCAAAGCCAACAATAAGGCAATAATTTGAATGTAAACGAATTGCAGCCGCATTTTATTTGTATTTATTTATTTATTTTTTTTTTTTGCTTGGTGCTCAGCTGACGCTCGCTTTGCGACTGAAGCACTTTTTGTTGTTTACAAAAATATTTAAATGAAAAAAAAAAATGCACAATATTTATTAAATATTTTATTCATATTGCTGGGCATTATCAGCTGCTGCTGCTGTTGCTGTTGCTGATAAGGCCCAACGCAATTTCACGCAAAAAAAAACATGCTCTAGCGGGGAGTGTTCGACTAGAAGATACCCTGAACACGGCGCAGAGATGCTGCTCCAGAGACAGATGGGCCTGACTAGATCGACTCAGCTAAGCGTACTGCTCAAGAGCATGTACTTCATGCCTTTTGCCACGCCTTCTTGACCGCCTGTTTCGCCAGTTGTTCATACCCCGAATTCCTATATTCACTGGCTATAAAAAGTATAGGTTTTTTATTCATAATCTCATAAATCAATGTATGCTAAATGAAACAAGCCTCAAGCTGGTGCTTAAGCGACTGCGCTATACTCTTTCGTAAATGAAACCATTGCAAATATCACTTCAAGCTGCTGTGGTCACAGTATGTATGGAGCAATAAATCATCTGTAGCTCCGGCTAAGTCGTTCAAGCCAAACTGTGCATCTATCTAGCTGCACAGGCTCGTCAGCTACATAAGCTGGCGTCTAGAAATTTGAATCTAAAATTCTTGTAACTTGATTTATTTTGATAGCTCAGCTTATTATTTTTTAAAAATCGATAAATATCGATAATGCTTATTGGTCTTTGTAGCTGAACTTGAAGACCTTTAAAGCTCGAGATGCTGCACTTGTAAACGCTAGAGCTTGCTTTCTTATGATTTGTTCCTATATTATACAGAAATGCCTTAAAAATATTTAATATTTATAATATTCTATATTTTTTATGTATTATATATTTTTATTTATTATATATTTTTTATATATTTTTATTTATTATAGATTTTTTATATACTTTTATTTGTTATAATTTTTTTATATATTTTTATTTATTATATATTTTTTATATACTTTTATTTTTTATATTTTTTTATATACTTTTATTTGTTATATTTTTTTTATATATTTTTATTTATTATATATTTTTTATATACTTTTATTTTTTATATATTTTTATTTATTCTATATTTTTTATATATTTTTATTTATTATATATTTTTTATATATTTTTATTTATTATATATTTTTTACATATTTTTATTTATTACATATATTTTATATATTCAGTAGCATTATTTGTTATTAAATGCGGGAAATCAACTGCATCATTTAAGTTCATTAAATTCAAAATATGCAGCTGGCGAGAAATTTTCTATTAATGCTCAGCTGCAGATGAGAGAAAAACCGTTAGTCAAAGTCAATAATGGCATAAATCTGAATGGAAATCAATTGCAGCTGCATTTAGTTCAAAAGTTTTTTTCGTCGACACTCGCTCATCGACTGCCTAAGACTCCTATTTTAGTAAATATAGATGGCAATTGAAACCATTGGAAAATGTGTGTCAAATTGCGCAGATTGCAGGGTAACTCATAGTCGATCATAACCTAATCAATTTATTTAGAAAGAAGCTGACATTGCCAAGATATATAGTATATATGAAATAGTCTCGCAGCACACTGTGCACCCAACTAATATGCTATCTTTACATATTGCGAGCGAGCATATAAAGAGAGACAACAACAAATATATAGAACTAAAAAAAAAATAATTGTCATAATTTAAAGGCAATTATTAAAGACAAATGTTATGTTCAGTTGAATAAAATATTTCAATAAATTTGAAGAGTAAACCAAATGTCATATATATATATATATAGATTTATATATATGGACAAAGTAAATAAAAAGCTGAATGTAAGAAAAATAAGATTTAATGGAAGCCAAACAAAGGCCAAGGCAAATCAAGCCACAAAGAGAGGACTTACCCGATGGGGAAGCACTCGACAGAGCAGCGTCATGCGTTGGCTATAAAAGCGCTGGGCTAGCTTCCAGTTGCTTATCAATCGATACAGTGCGTTACAGTTGCTCAGATACAAAATGCAGCTAACACTTATTGCTCTGCTCTGCTGTCTACTTGGCGCTGCCTTGGCCATGCCGCAGCCGGAACGTCAGTCCGAACAGTCGAAGCCGAATGGCGATGTCTGGAACGAAAGGAAACAGTTTAATCCGCCCAATGAGCAGCGTTTCCTGCTGGACGGCGGCTACAACAAGGACAGCACCGGCAAGGATATCTGGGCCCAGGCCCAGGCGCCCGTCTGGACCAGCGACAACAAACGCCACGAATTCGATGTGGTCGGCAAATATGGCCAACATCTGGGCGGACCCTACGGCGATAGCCCACCATCATATGGCGTTGGTGGCACCTACAGATTCAGATTCTAAAACTTTTAAATAAAAATAAATAAAAGCATTTATGCAAATTTATATATATGAAAATATTTAATGAAGGCGGGGCATGGGCTTGTTCTTGAAGAGATTTTCATAGAGTTGCTTTCCAGGGTAGATCGATTGCCAAATGACTGAGGATGGCTTTAAGTGTGAAGCCAATTTATTGCCTTGTTCTATTTACTAAATATGTGAGAAGATTTATCAACATAAATTGATTTCTTTCTACCTCATTTTTAGCTTTCTTCCAGAAACTTTTGCCTTGCTTCATGCTTGCTGTGTTAATTTTCCTTGATTCTTGATTCTTGATTCTTGATTTCCTTTTCGGTAAATCACTCTCAGTGCTGTGATTTCCATTCATCTATTTTCTTTTTTATCTCTTCATGTCTTCATGCCTTTAAAGATTTTACTAAAATTTTCCTCTAACTTTCTAATTTGTATTCCATAAATTATATAATATATATAATAAATTATAATATATTATATACTATAGTATAATTTCTAAATATTTTATTTTTGCTTATATTCAAATATATATTATATTATATATAACATACATATTATATTATATTAAAATAAATTTTTATTTATATTTTTTTGCTGACCATATTGGGCTAAGTACAATTTCCCCCTCGGCTTGGTGATTTTATTGTTAGCTTTTTTCTGTTTTTATTTTGAGTTTCAACTTTTTGCTGGCACTCGAGTTTTATCAAATATTTATTCTCTACGATTTTGTATTAAATAATTAAATAAATAAAATAATGATCTGATACAAATTTGAATCGTTTCTATATGCCAGCTCGCAGAAACCATTTGCCATGCCAATAACTTTTTATAGTTCTTAAGCAAGCTTTAATTTCTCTCAGTGTACTAACAGCTGATCTATGCAAACTTTTTCTTTAGTTATCGACTCTCATTGAGTTAGCTTGTGTATGTCATTGTCGCGCTCTGAATATTACATTAAGAAAGTCCAACTAGAGCCAAAAGTTCTTCAGCAATTCAGTATCCATAGTAAAGCAGATCTCATGCTTATGTGTGAGTGTGGTGTGCATGTATTGTTATGTGTTGTGCTATGTATGTGTAAAACAATCATCAAGTCATATGAATAGTGTTTCAGGGTATATCCTAGTTGGACACTTTCGTCTAGAGAACTCTTACTTCATTTCTATACGAAATCGTAGAGAATAAATATTTCTATTCAATTTAATACGTATACGCGCTGTATGCCACGTGCAGCGGTTATTTACTTACTGAATTTATTCAAAATATATTTTTAAAAGTGTAGCTGCGAGTCAGTCTAAAGAAACTAAAGGCAATAGCCATGATATATAGCCTGATATACAATATAAAAATTGTTTTCAAATTGGTTATGCAACAGAATGCGATCTTCAAGGCCCAGATATTGCCTCGCTCAATAGAAGCTATTAAAAATAAACAAATTTTCAAACTGTTTCAATAGCCCAGCTCAAGACAAAGACTTCTTGCGAGTAAACAACATACGCAGCAAAGTAAACTTTATCATATTTAATATAAAAAGTAAACATTTTGCCACAAGCATTGAGACACATTCAATTATCAAGCAAAAATTCCCCCAGGCACACATAAAAAAGGAATCACCTGGGGGAAGCACTGCAAGGGCTGATAAGCTGCAGCAGATGCTTGACACTCGCTTATCTGCGGCAGCACCTGCTATAAAAGCGCTGCTCCAGCTTAGTTCGATTATCAGTTGATTTAGCTACAGCTACAGCTACAGCCTCACAAAAATACAACATGCAAGTGACACTCATTGCTCTGCTCTGCTGCCTGCTCGGCTCAGCCCTGGCCATGCCGCAGCCCGAAAAGTTGGACGTGAGCAAGGCATCGGCATGGACCGAGCGTCCACCATCGGGTCCGCCACCAGAGCAGCGTTTCCTGCTGGATGGCGGCTACAACAAGGACAAGAACGGCCAGGATGTCTGGGCCATGGCTCAGGTGCCCGTCTACACCAGCGACGACAAACGTCACGAATTCGATGCGGTCGGCAAATATGGCCAACATCTGGGCGGACCCTATGGCAACAGCCCGCCTTCCTATGGTTTCGGTGGCAACTACAGATTCAGATTCTAAGATCTCTGCGAGAATCTAAAGAATTATGAGCTTAACACAATCGAGTCTTATCAAAATTATTTTAATCTAAATTATTAAATAAATTGTATTAAAGAATTGAATTCGAAAATATTTCTTTTTACTTATTTTATTAACTATGGCCAGCTCTAATCATCTCTGAGCGGGATTTCAATGAACTTTGTGTCTTAGAGCATTCAAGGCACACTCAAAGGCAAGCAATGAAAGGTCTGCAGATGCTTCTGCTTCTGCTTCCCTTAGTCGTCACACGCTATGAGTTATGAGTTATGAAACAATTTGGCTTCTAGATGCGCGATCTTAATGACTTTTTGAGAGCATGAATCTGACTTTTTTAATATATCTTTTTAAGCTATTGATAAGAGAGCAAAGAGCAAGAAGAATCAACTCCACACAGGGCACTCTGGAGCGACTCTGCAGCCTTGACGCTGCCAGCATCAATGCCATTGACGTCAACTACTTCGTGCTTAGAGTCACTTCTATATATATATATATATATATATGTACATATTCTATATACAATTCACTAAGCAACAAAAATACGTCAAATTTCTTCGTAATCAAATTTTTTTGGGGCATCCCTTGGAGTGTTTTTTTTTTTTTTGGGAAAATTTAAACTTCCATTAAAATCTAATTTAAACTCAATTTAAATTAATAAATTATTCAGATTCTTATGCAAAACATAAACAAAAAAAAAACACTAAGTGAACCAGCAATCAAAACATATTGTTCTTCAATATAATTTCGCCATCGAAGATCAAAGCGATTTCTGAAGCGAGAATTGCCCGAGAATGGGCAAAAACGTAGGCTCAACTTTGATTACTTTGAAGAGGTCAGCACAGTTATTCACTACGCTTCGAACACACCTCGCAAACACTCTAATAAGTGGTGTTTATATATAGATATACCCATGTATATATGCCTGCTATTGTCGCTCTTACCAGCTCACCTTATATAGCCAATAAATATGATAAGTGATGCCTCGGCACGTGTAAGCCGAGCCCAAGCAAGATTCGCCAAGGTCTTCTTTCTCGTATGATTTATGCAAATTTCATAATGAGAAAAGCATTTGTTAATGTTTCACAATGAATCCTAGAACCGAAACCCGAAAAGTGATTCATTTTGCGTTTTCGCTTTCATTCACAGTCTTCATAATTGGCCAAACAACATTTATTTATAGACTCGACTCTTGGGGTTAGTCTGACATGATGAATTTTCATTGCAGCCTCTTTTGACAGTTAACGCAATAAATCCAATTAGGCAACAATAGATTCTTGCGGCAGGTTTCATTAGCCAAAAACAGTCGTCGCGCGCTTAAATTGCTAATAGCAACAACAAGAAGAAGAAGAAAACTGAAAGATATAGTCATAAAGACATCTTCAATTAGCTAAACTGCAAGCTCATCTCGCTGCGACTGTCAGCCGTAAATTTTATTCAATTCTGCGACATTTGTTCCGGGGTAGACGCACGTCTCAAGGATAACCCAAGCACAGTTCATATCAAATTCCTAAAGATGAGTCTCTGATAAATCAAATGATATTTAAATTGTGTTTATTATTGTCATAGTTAATGCAATAGGCAACAGAGGGGCGTGGCTGATCAGACTCTATAGAGACTAGCCCCTCAGTAGCCATCTGTGCGTCTTCTCTGTGAACTCATCGAACTCAGCAGCTACAAAAGCCAAAGACTTGAGTTGCTTAAAGCAGCATCTAGAAGCCACAAAGTTCATTGAAATCCCACTCAGAGATGATTAGAGCTGGCCATAGTTAATAAAATAAGTAAAAAGAAATATTTTCGAATTCAATTCTTTAATACAATTTATTTAATAATTTAGATTAAAATAATTTTGATAAGACTCGATTGTGTTAAGCTCATAATTCTTTAGATTCTCGCAGAGATCTTAGAATCTGAATCTGTAGTTGCCACCGAAACCATAGGAAGGCGGGCTGTTGCCATAGGGTCCGCCCAGATGTTGGCCATATTTGCCGACCGCATCGAATTCGTGACGTTTGTCGTCGCTGGTGTAGACGGGCACCTGAGCCATGGCCCAGACATCCTGGCCGTTCTTGTCCTTGTTGTAGCCGCCATCCAGCAGGAAACGCTGCTCTGGTGGCGGACCCGATGGTGGACGCTCGGTCCATGCCGATGCCTTGCTCACGTCCAACTTTTCGGGCTGCGGCATGGCCAGGGCTGAGCCGAGCAGGCAGCAGAGCAGAGCAATGAGTGTCACTTGCATGTTGTATTTTTGTGAGGCTGTAGCTGTAGCTGTAGCTGAATCAACTGATAATCGAACTAAGCTGGAGCAGCGCTTTTATAGCAGGTGCTGCTGCTGCTGACAGTGTCTTTCGCATCTTATCAGCTCGACTCAGTTTTTGCTGTGCTTTGCACTTCGACATCTTAGTCTGTTCTTAGGGGACTTACACGCTGTTCTTTATCAGACCACAAAATATTATTTTTCCCATAGATCACTTTACTTATCAGCGGTGCTTCACGCATGTAAATCACACATGCTGTCATTCGCCAAGGGAATCCCTGCAACGGGGACTCTTTCGCCCAGAGCTGCCGCGTCTATAAAAGGCGATTGCAGCATGGATTAATTCGTCATTAAACAAAGAAAGCTTAAAGATGAAACTAAATCTAAATTTGCTGCTGTTGCTGCTTGGCTTGATTGCCTGTGCTTGGGCTTATCCCAATCCCAATGCCAATCCTGATATTCAGATCTATGAGCCGGAAAACCAATTGGTAAGTTACTTAGAAGCTACTTAATTGAGTTAGTAGTTAAATGCTGGCTCTTTTGTTAGCTGGAACAGGAGATTGCATCGTCGCCCTATGAGCAGCAGCTGCTGGCGGAGGAGGGGGAGTCGGAAGAGGAGTCGGAGCAACTGCATCGCATACGTCGCCAGCTGAATGTCCAAGGCGGTGGCAGTCCGCGTCAAGGCTTCGACTTGAGCGTCAATGGACGTGCCCCGGTGTGGCAGAGTCCAAACGGACGCCATTCGCTGGATGCTACGGGACAATACTCACAGCATCTGGGCGGACCCTATGGCAATAGCAGACCCAACTGGGGCGCCGGTGCGATGTACACGTTCCGTTTCTAGGCTGCGATTGTTAAACTTAAATAATTAATTCATAAAAAAAAAAAATAAAAAATAAATATTTATAAATCAAATTTATTTGATGGAAAAGCTTTTTAGCTGAGAAGTTTGTAGAGCTGATATAGATGTGTAAGGTATATATATGTATATATATTTATGTGTGTGTGTGAAGTATTGGGGCAATCTATTCAACTGTTTGTTGCAGAGCGCCCTCTACCGTGATACCTACCATTACAAAAAAAAATAAAGAAAGAATGCGTCAACTATTGCAACTGGGCTGACTGCTCTCGCAGTTTAGGAACTCAATACACACAAGTGACATTGTCGGCTGTACATATGTTGAAGTTGTAGTTCGTTTGGCCACATTTCACTGTAATTTATAGTTCCCGGCGTCTTCCACAAGCAACTGCATTTAAAGCATGTCAATTTCTAGCCGCCTCTTTGCGAGCATCGAACATGCTCGAATGAGCTCAACAGCCGTCTCACTCTCACTTGGCAACAGCTGGGAACACTTTCAGCAACAGCTATCGTTGTCTCACTCTCACGCAGCAGCAGTTTGAGGATACAAGCCAGAGACTCACGAAAACGCACACTCACTCACTCACTTACGCACACACATTCATTTGAATAATACATGCACAAGAACTCTAAGCCTCACACCAACACAACTGACGCAGTATTAGGCAATCATGAGGTGGGATAGTTAGAGAGCAGACTCTGTTGCTATGAATTATATATATATATATATATATATATATATATATATATATGTATATATATATGCTTATGAAATAAGCTCAAATATCTTTCAAAATTTGTATCTAGCTTAACATAATCCCTAGAAAGAGTTTTGCTTAAGTCGTTGTCTATACCCATTACTAAATTTCTGGCTCATATAGAACATGTAGAACTGGCAAATTTCCTATCTCAGTCATATGTGAGTTCATAACTACCTTGTTAATAGTAAATTTCATAGCTCAGCAAGAACTTAGTGAGAGCTACTTGAGATCATACATAGTTTGAGAGTTAGGATCAACAAGTTTGACAATTGGTTCATGTCTGAACTTCTTCTACAGATAGACTTATATATGAAATATAAGAGAGATATTCATATGAAGTGCACAATGTAGTTGCCCAAGGGCAGCCTCTCCAATTCTCATGCAATTATCAGCTAGAAACTCATTTGTGTAACAGCTGTGAGGCCGGGCATCGCCTTGACTGGCTGACTCGAGACTTTGACTTATAATAATTTGTAGTTTATTATATAAAATATATTTATTAATTTAAATTGGTTTTATTTCAATTATAGTCGATGTCATTCACATGCATTTCGGTCTCAAACAACGTTTTGTTCTCAAACATTGTTGGATCTGGTGTGGGTATCTGCAAAAATTGATAAGTGAATCAGAATATATTTGGATAGATAGGGAGATATATATCACTTTTTGTGCTCACCTCTTGGTAGTCGCGCGCTGCTATGGAGCGTCCCTGGCTTAGGCCAATTAGCCAAAGCGTTAGCAACAAGAATTTCAATAAGCCAAACATTTTTTAAATGAATTTCGCGTGGAAATGTTTCGCATTCGATTTTACAAACAGAACTGAATTAATAGCTACAGCGCTCTCTCTGACTCTGAGTGTGTGTGAATGAGTTAGTGAGCGTGTGTGTGTGCATGTGTGTGTGTGTGTCTTTGTGTGTGTCAAAAATCGAGCCAACAGCTGCTATCAGCTGTAACCCCACCTAGCTGATAAGCTACCTTCCACAGATGAGTCGCATCTGTATACAGTTTCACCCTCTCTGCTGTGCGCCTCTCTTTGCGCTTCTCATCCGACAGCACGTTGAACTCTTTTAAATTTGTTAAACGTGCCCAGAGTTGCAAATAAAGATTGTGTAAAGAAAAAGAACTTGGCACGTTTTGTGTTGAAATCGAATAAGAATGAGAAAAATGAATAGTTAAATTGAACTAGAAGAGGTTGTTAGACTGGCAGATACCCTGTAGTTGGCGTTAATGTGATTTGCAGATAAGTGTGACTCTTTTTGGTTATTAGGTTTACAGATATACAATTTTAAATACAAAAATCTTAATTCTGTCAGACTAAAAAATACCCTGTATATTGTTATATCAATTAGTTTTACTAGTAGGTACTCTTTGTCTTCTCTTACATGTACTTGTATAAATTTAAAGCCTGCCACTAGGCATATTTAGTGGCATGCTCAACTAAAGTATACCCTGTATGTTTGTTTGTATAATAGTTTGACTTGGAGATACTCTGTAATTTTAGTAAATTATTAAATATCGTAAGTAAATTATTATGCATCCGCTTGGTACTTAAACAGTAAATATACCTGACTAACATATACCCTGTACTAATAATAATAATAATCTAATGAGGAGATTAGCTTGTTGCAAGTTCTGATATGTAGCAAAATTATTTTGATATATACCTTTACTATACTTTGGAGTGCTGAACTATATATGTCGACTAAAAATACCCTGTAAATTGTCTATAAAGGATTCTATATATATATCTTTTGAGTTTTATATAACTAAGAATAGAGAGCCTAGACATAATTTACAGATTTAAAAAAATGTACTTAAGAATGAAGTGGCTCGACTGACAGATACCCTATATGTGCATATCAAGTGCGAAGCAAAGTGTTATATTCATATGTATTAATGCAACAGTTAAATATAATGCAGTAAAGAAACATTTAGCTTGTGTCAATAAGTTGCTCGACTGCGACATACCCTGTATTAGAGTCTTTAATAGCAAATATATAACTTAATTGCAGCAATTTATATATGTTGAAGACATGAGCATGATGTAGTAAGAAGTGAATGTTTTTAACTGAACTAATTGTTCGACTAGCACATACCCTGTATCAAGTTTTGTTAACAATGAACAAATTTTGTGTTTTAATCTGTATGTATTAGAGTACATAAATTAGATACGGACTGTATTTTATTGCTGAAGAAAGTGCATGACCTAAGGATACCCTGTAGATTTATAGTACATGACATTAGAGAAAGATGTATACATATATACTTATATATACATAGGTAAAATTGAAAAATGCGAGAGTCAAGTGTGTTTGTCTAATAGATACCCTGTAAACAGATCAGCGAACATAAGACAATTTGCCTTTAACTAGAGTGCTACATCAAACTACCCTGCATACACTTGCCTCATTATAGGGTATTCTGCACCCAAAAAGTAAAACCTTGCACAAACAAATCTAAATGTTAGTAGCAAACAGCGAACGAAGGTCAGTTCATAGGGTAACAAAATTCTATTTTTTTTTAACCAATTTGGTTTTTGTTTCTAAGTTTTCTGGGTTGGCTGTGCTGCAGTTGAGTTGAGCTGAGTTTTGTGTTCTGCAAGTTGCCTTTGTTGATAGCGCCAATTTTCTGGCCAATTTTCCTTTGTGTGTGCGCGAGCAAACATAAAATTTTCTCTATTTTTTATTTGTGTTTTTGAAGAGTTCGAGTACAAAGTTTTTCCATGTCATTTTCATATAGATGCATGTGCGCTCCATTTCTTGGCCATTTGTTAGAGCCATTTTCCAAATCAATGCACAAATTGTCAAGCCAGACAGAGTCTATTGTTTTTTGGCGAAAATTGGCAACACACAAATTGTTTGCTGTTCGTCGTTGTCGTTGTCGTTGCCGTTGCCTCGCGGAGTCGCCTCTTAAATTGCACATGTGGCAGTCAGCTCATTTGTCAAGTGGCAAATCACTTTAAAGGCCAGACGTACGGCAAATGCAACACAAACAACAACTGGCAACGGGCAACCTAACAACGAACAATGATAAAAATCAACTTTGCATTTTGCATGTATTTTCAGCTGGTTTGTGTCTTGGCTTTGATCGTTCAGCGCTGATTGCTGATTGCCGATCGTGACCGATCGACGGCATTTCCCACGCAGTTGGCCAAAAAGAAAACTTTTGCCAGCGACAACCACTTTGAAAGCCAACAACAAGTTGAGCAGATGCCGCATGTACACGTCACAGGTCCACAGAATTTCTTGTACTCGAGTTTGTTAGAAGTTCTCTAATGGGCCCCAGCTCGTCGTCGCTTCGCTCTAATGGCTTTTTAATGAACGCCCGACAACAGGGCGGAGAAATTTGTCAGCGCAACGTGCAAATTGAAACTAAGTAAGCCAAGTTAAGCGTATTAATTATGAGTGTCAGAGCTTCGACTAGGGCAGGTAATCAAGCTGGAAAGCATGAAGCAAGCGTCGCAGCTTGCATACCCTAAGAGAAATGGCATTATTGAAAGTGATATATAGCCAAATTTGATTTTTGCGAGAGCAAAAAAGTTATTGTTTGCCAAGTTTGTAATATATTAAAAAACTCAACAAGTTTCCATACAAAAATTAATTTTTCAACTGATCGTTTCTATGACAGCTATATGATAAAATTAGCTATTAATTATTAAACTTTGTTTATGCATCGAAATCATAGTAAAACGTGAAACAGCCAAGTTTTATCAAGATATTTTCTAAACCAAAAAAGTTTTTCATAGAAGAACTAAATGTTTGAGTCATCATTTCTATGGCAGCTATATGATATAGTTGAACAATAATCGAAGTGTTTTGCTTAAATGCTCATATTTTTAAATGATTTGTAAATTTCAAGTTTCAAAGAAATATGTAGAAAAATAAAAAAGTTTTTCATATAAGAACTAAATTCTCAAAACAGCGTTTCTATAGTAGCTATATCATATAGTTAAGCGATTTGCTATAGATTTCGTTTATTTATTGGGCTTATAATAGAAATTTCAAATATCAAGTTTTGTGAACATAACTTAAAAAGCTAAAAAGATTTGCACATAAGAACTAAATTTTTTGATAACTGGTCTTTAGTAACTAAGAGATTTGTCAAAGTAATTTGCAAAATAGTTTGTTTACATATGCAAATATAAGAATACATTGTAAATGCTAAGTTTTATTGAGATATCTTGCAAAACAAATGAGTTTTCTGTACATGATCTAAATTTCTTAATGTTAGCTTTTATGGCAGATATAGGATTAA